GGGGAAACAGAGAAAAGAAAGTGTGTGTTTCTTACTTCCTTATTTTAAACCCTAGCATTTTTAACTTACAGGCAAGTAAAACAAAAATAGGAATTTGGTAAAGATTATCATGTGAGATGCACTTCATAGTAATGAAATAAAGGCTGCTATTCATATGCCAGTGTGCTTTTTAGCATCTTTCATGGTTCTGTTTGACCTTTAATTCTTGTATGTAAAATGCTACCTTCTTAAGAATGACAATGAAAAAAAAATCTCTATTTCTTTAGCAGGCTTCAGCTGCAGAAGTACAAGTTGGGTCTATGAGACTGACACAATACCCAATTCAGGTAAGATGCTCCTTCAGTTTCTGAGAGAGCCAATTCAGTATTGATAGATGAAAAAGTTAAGGTTCAAACTCTTTAGTTAACTATAATATTTTAATTTCACTTGTACAAGGACTGTGAGAGGGATAATGTGTGTTTTGTGTATCTGATTACTTGAGAAGATTTAAAGTAAATTAACTCAGTAAATAAGACCCTTAGATTTCCACTAACATCCCCTCATTGCTTGTATCTGTCCTACCAGTATGAGTGTGAGTGTATGTGCATCAACCAGGGAAAGAGCTGCCTCTATGGATATTAAAACCTGTTCAGTTTTGCTATACCACAGCAGAGACCTTCATGAAATTTAGGTATATGTTCAGTTTTGCTGGGTTTTGCACAACAGGATAGAGAACTGTAACAGGACAGAGAACGATGTTTTACAGACCACCAATTCAAGAAATGTCCTCCAAGAAGACAGGTTCAAATTCAGCTAAGGAGCAACAGCTCTTATCCATACATGCTTCATTTTCTGTACATTTTGCTCCTGTGATAGTATCAGATGCCAAGTGTTATTTTTTTCAGCTTATAGTGGAAGTTGGAACTCTCGGATTATAGGAAATTAGCCTTTTAGGAAATAAAGGAATTATAGGAAATAAAGCCTTTTAGCCTTTAACATTGTTTTAGTGATACATAATTAATCTGAATTAATTTATGGGTTGGTTAATTCTGTAAAATACAGACACATTTAGTCACCAAGCACCCTTTCTGTGAAAAACCTATGTGTGGAAGAAAAGCATCATAAAGCTTTACATTTTTATGGCTTTACATTCAGTCTTGAATGTAAAGCCATATGAATGGCTTTATGAATGCAATCTCAATGATTACTCAATCTGATGAAATTACTTGTTTATATTGTAGTAAGACTGAGGAGTAGTGACTTCAAGAGCAGAACAACCTTCAGTTTTGTAGGGAATTTTAACATAGAAATGTGTAACTTTTCACAGAAAAATATTTTTAGATCGTGTTCATCTTCAGAAAGATTATCCAGAAGATATTTAGCAACTACAAATACTCTCAGTGCTTTTGTGAGGATATTACTTCATAGAAATTTGATTTCCCCAAGGCAAAGTTAGATTTTTGTTGTTTTCAAAAATTGACATTCTTTTTGGTATCTTTTCAGATGGGGGTGTTATTTTGTCTTTACATTTCACAACTGAGAATCTGTGTAAGAAAATAATCTGTTTTAGGCAGAAATTATTCAGTAAAATCATTAACTGAAGAATTTTCCTTAAAGATGTTGCCATACATTAACTTATTTACAGTTAAGTAAAACATTTTATGTAAACCCGCCTTGTGTAAAAAGCCACATTACCTCAGATAATTTGGCAAGTAATGCACACATCCCCACATTAAAAAAATGTGTGCTAATCTTTTATTCCATCTTGACAATACAATTATGTGTTTCTCTGTGCATTGCAAACAGCTACTGAATATCACATTTTAAATGTCTGTATGTGGATGATTAATCATGTTTACAATTGCCTGACAAGTTAAGTTCCATTTGTTAAAACAATTGCCACTGAGGCTTTTCTTAGCCAACTTCATTTTATTCTGCTGTGTTTTATGCTGTTATGGGACACCTGTGCCAACCTCAAAATGGCGCATATTTTTTGTCTGAGAAGTGACCTCACTTGTGCCTGTGACCTGCCATAAAACCATTTAATAGGTTCCTCACTGGACTTCATGACCATATATGTCAGACTAAAATTGGGTTTCATTTGTACAGAATTGTGACCCAGGTGCTCCTGGCCTTAAGAGGCAAAGGGAAGAGTTCAAAGCAAACCAGCCAGCTCCAACCCTCCAAATATCCCATATACACATTGCACAATTGCCTCAACTTTGTACCAAGGCTTGTAATATAGGAATTATTTGATTTCAGAAATGACCATGCTGAAAGTACACAAAAATGTGCTTTCTCCAGGGGACACTGGAGATGTGGTTTTTATAAACAATTAGTGCACATAAAAAGGTGCTGGATCCTCTTGCAGAAATGTTTGCTCATAAGCGTTTCAGTGTTCCTATTCAAATGCTGCATTTTCTCACCTTTTAGGACATTTATTTGCCATCATCTCTTTCACAGCGTTGACACTGTGATCTTCCCTGATGAGCTGCAAATGAAGCAAGATGATGCACAGCATTTCGCTGTTCCCTCATACCATTATAATGGGTATCTCTGTAACTTTATTCAGAGATACTATGTCTTTTCCAATCTGAAAGTCTCTTGCTAGGATATGATGATTTGAAAATGATTAAATAGCTTCTTAAGTTGCTGTAATTTTCTTTCTCCTTTTGGTAGCTTGTTTATCCTCAGCTGATGTTTCTTGTATTTCAAAATCTTTGAAGCAAATTTCTGTCCATTTTCTGTATTTGTATAATAAACTGGGAACTAGATGTGCAATAGTCATGTCAAGCAAATACTTAGAGTAAAAATTTCAGTACATCACCAAAATTGGAAAGGCCTCTACAGAGAAAGTCCATGGTATTCCTAAATTACGGCAACAATGAGTAAAATTATCTTTTTACAGTAACATTGCAAATCATGCAACAAAAAAATAACTACATGAAGTTTTTTTGGCATGGAACACAGATTGAATTTAAGCATTTCCTTGATCATGTTGTTTATATGGATTATTACATTTTTGCCTTGACTTTGACAGCATTGTTCAAATATACTTCCAGTTATATTGTGTTTTGATGATTTATAGTAAGCTCCATACAACTGTTAATGAGAAAGTGTAGTAGTAATACCTTAAACCACTTTTAAAATTAATATTCTTAGAAGGATTTGTGCACTGATAATCAGTTACCAGGAGAGATTGTATGGTTTAATTAAGCTCCATTATTTTAAAGATGATAAATTATTGCATTTTACCATCCTTTATTTCCAAACTGGGAGTGCTGAGAGAAGGAAGATATCAAAAAACGTGCCACCCCTGCCCCCCTCAAATTTTCTTTCCCCACAACATTTCAAACTAGGAACAAAATAAAACTAATGGCAGTTGGAACCAAACAGAAGATTGTATCAGAGTAGGGACTTCACTCAGGAAGTAGAAAATCTGCAGCTCAGCCAGGTCACTGCTTTCCAACTCTTTGATGGCTGGAAAAAAAACCTCAGGGATTAAAAAGAGTGACAACAGTTACCTTGGATGTTAAGTGTCAATAAACCAAATCTGCTTATTGATAACTGCAATCAAAAACCTCCCAATACATTGAAACTTTTACCTTCTTAATATTTACAGAAATTGTGAGCATATAATTTTCTTCCATTGTTTAATGAAACTCTGACTGTCACAGTAACAATGATTGATTTTTTTATTGTTTAGAATTCAACAATCCAAGCAGCTAAAGATAAGAAGAATGCTATTGTCACCTTTTCTAGCTTCTAGACTGATCGTGCTGAAATTCATGTGCTGACACCACAGCTGCATAAAGCAAGGTGGATAAAGGTTATTGGCCTTTCCTACAGGCATTTGGAGCAAAATTTTGCATATTTTTCTTGAGCACGTTGTTTCAGTAAAGTCAGGGGATGACTTTTATATGTGAAATGAACAGGATTTTGCTTTATACATGACTAATCTCTGGCTGCTGACTTTTTGTGCAATTTTAGTAGCTGTGGATAAAGTTTTGACTTTTTGAGGCCTTCTTTTTCACAGCATATTTGCACTAAATTAGCCCTGTTCTTCGTCTGACACAGGGTAGCACGGATAGTTATCAGTTGCTATGGTAAATACGTGCAACTGTAATGGGGAATGTCTGCATGACTTAGATTAATAAATGGACACTGATAAATTGTGTGTTATAGGGCAAGGACGAAAAATTTATTCTTTCTGAAAAACACTTCCTTTTACATGAGAGGCACAGAAATACAGCTGTTTTCAGCTTCTATTCTGTGTGTCAGCTTGCAAACAGGCTTCCTACAGCATCTCCTTGATCTTCAGAGTGGCACCTCTGTACACTTCCTACCTGATCTTGTGTGAGCAGTTCCTTAAGTGTTCAGTTGAAATTGTCTAAACTACTTTATAAGCTTAGGGACAGTTTGGCACAATTTATTGGGTAAAAAATTCTCACATTTGAATATTTTTCCTCCTCTACATACCTTCTTGCCTGTTGCTCTTTTCAGCTTTGAAATAATATTGGTTAATGCCACTTTTTGTGATTAAAGAAGACAGAACAGATAAAACTTTGTTATTGTTTGCCCATGTCTTCAGGGATGATAAGAGGTAATTAAGGCAGCTGCATTTCAAACAGTTCCTTACTATCAAAAGTGTGTGTAGCTCGGATGAGACAAGAGTGGCAATGATGTTTGATGGTTGGTTGCTGATTGAATTGGAACAGGAGCTAGGAAAAAATCATCATGTGGCAAGCTAGTTTTGTCCTAAACTTTTATACAGTCCTTGTTTAAAACCATTAACTATTTATATAGTTACCTGTTGTTAACTATTGATTGTTGATAACTGTGGTATCCATTAAGAAAGGTGTACTACTGCATTGTTTGTTTTACAACCTGTGGTTCAAGCTTCCCACTTTTAAAGCAGACTTAAAATCTTCCAAAGGGCAGAATTATTTGTTAAGACTTGCTCCATGCAGAAGACTACTTTATGTGCTTAATGTGGTGCTGCTGTTTTCCATCCTCTGCAGGTTTTGCTAATCTTTGCAAAAGAAGACAACCAAAGCAATGGTTTCTGGTGGGCTTGTGACAGAGCAGGATACAGGTGCAATGTTGCCTGGACTCTGGAATCAGCACTTGAATGTTTCCTGGATAAGCACCAGGAAATAATTGTCATAGATCACAGGAACTCCAAGTATTTTGATGCAGAAGATATCTGCAGGTAACCTAAAGCACCTTATGCTTCTCTTAAGCTTTGAAATACATTGTATGAAACCAAACCTCCTAATTTGAAACCAAACTCCTTATTTGAAAAAATAGGGAAAAAAATAAAAAAAAACAAACAAAAAATGAACACCTAAAATTGCAGTGGAATGGAAGCTTGGGGACTGAGGCCAGGAGGTTTGCACACATCTACAACAATATAAAAACTACATTATGCCGAAGCTGAACTGTAGAATTATCTTTAAGTCATGGGGTTTCTATCAGAGCATAAGCCAAAGCTGTTGTGAAACCATTCTCTGCTGTGGGTGCTGCTTCTTTCCTGGCTTACTGCTGCATCAAAATCTGAAGCTGCAGACTTCAAAGGAATGTGTTTGTTTGTGTGAATGTTGTGCACAAGGTCAGGCACTGCCAGTTCTTCACAAAAGTTTGCATCACTCTTCTATTCCACATGGTTGTACCTAAGATGCTTTAAGATTACAAGTGATCAGTATTGGGATCCTTTGCTAAAATGCGTGGTTTCAGCTGAAGCATACCATTTGCACCATACTGTGCTTCTAGTCTGCCATGAGCTGAAACTTGCCATGTTTATGACAAGGGGCATTTTAATGCTCAAATATTTGTGCTGGTCTTTCTTCTAAAAGACCAACAGATAAACATAAAGATTGTTTATTCAGAGCAATGTAATATGAGTGAAAAAAGCTTATCATTAGCCAGTAAAACACAGAGTGTTCTTCTGATAGCTGGTCATATCTTTTTTGGTTTCTCAATAATATGCAACATGGTAAAATTTTGTTTATGCAGTATTTAATGAACTGTAGTCTTTTGTAATTTGCTATGCCTTGATAGCACTTCCCACCCTCTAAACAAAATTTTGCAATGTCTAGAAGGACAGTGGTAAATCTGAGAGGGGGTAGAGATTCTTGTATAAATTAGTCAAGGGCGTTGAAGATACTTTGCATGTACTGACCTTTCTCGACTCACGCATTCAGGGCAGTCTGCCCCAGATAAGCTGAATACACAGGGGAAACCTTCGCTAGGTCATAAGAGTAGGTCTGAAAAGTGATGTTTGTCCACTGAGGTTTTGGAGCTTTTGCCTTCTTACCTCCATAGAGCAAAATGAGAAATATGGTGCCAAAATGAAAATGGTTTGTCTAAATGGGGATAGTTAGGTTTGGCAGTGCACTATCATATTGTCTAGCCTCAGTGGTGTCTTTCAGTCCTGACTTTCATTTATGTTTTCAGTGGAGGTACTCAGAGCAATATTGAGAAAGCATTCAGTGTAACTGAGAAATTTTTGTTTCCTCAGGTCTATTCGTGCCACAGAGCTATCAGAGCATACTGTAATACTTGCTGTGGTTCCACGCACGTAAGTATTACTGGTTTGTGAAAGATTTTAATTTTACTTTATAAGAACAGTTACCTAGTCTATAACAGTTATTTAATAACAGAAAGTATCTTACTAGCAAATTTTACAGAGTAAATGTAGTATTTTTCATCTGAAATGGTCTAGTGATGTTCGATGTTTTATTTGAGTGTTCGACATCTTTCCTTTAGTACTGACTAGTATTTTCCTGTCACCTCATGATGGGTTTTATAGTAAGAAAGCCAGACAGATATGTGTTATTTCTAAGAGGAAAGGAAAATACAAATCCAAACTAGAAAGGTGCGTATTACTTTCTAAAGGAAATAACTAGAGAAATAACAAATTGTTGTTTATTTAACTGGGTGATGGGGCAAACTTCAATCCAGCTGATGCTAAATTCACCAGAATGTTGTCCTTAAACCCTTATTTGGTAATTCATAACCCATGCATTTAGGAAGAATTCTTACTGACTTAAATATATATTTATCAAATATCTTCAAATACCCTTGTTAGAACTCCTACATACTACTGAATCCATTACCATTTTCATTTCCTAAATCAATTAGAATATTAGGAAATAGAGTGGAAGGAGAACTATTACTACCAAGATTTGAAAATCAATTAAATTTGCTGCTGAACAAGATTTTACAACTTAGCAAATACCTTTATATTAATAATATTTTTTTAGATTATTTCTCATAAGATATCACAGAATGTCTTTTTTATCTTCTTTGTACTTTTTCTTGCAATCCCCTTCTGTGTGTAGAGAGATACAGGACTTCTCTGGAGAATCTGTCAGTCAGGTTTGCTGTAGGAGTAATTATCAAGTTGTATAGAAGCTGCAAATACCTGTAATAGAAGACTATAGCACCAGCTTCTATAACAGTAAGATTTTTTTGTATGTATTTAAGGAAAAACTCTTCTCACTGAGTTCGTTATGTTTAGAGAACTATGTTAGATTCATGCCATCTAATCCTCAACTGTTATGTCCCCTTATAGTAAATAATATACCAGCCCTGCTTAATATCTGTATCAATGACCTGGACAAGGGATTGAGTGCACTCTCAATCAGTTTGCAGGTGACACCAAGCTGGGTGGGAGTGCTGATCTGCTGAAGGGCAGGAAGGCTCTGCAGAGGGATCTGGACAGGCTGGATCATGGCTGAGGCCAATGGTGTGAGGTTCAACAAGGCCCATGCTGGGTCCTGCCCTTGGGTCACAACAACCCCAGGCAGCTCCACAGGCTGGGGCAGAGTGGCTGGAAAGGACCTGGGGGTGCTGGTGAGAGCAGCTGAACATGAGCCAGGCTGTGCCCAGGTGGCCAAGAAGGCCAATGGCATCCTGGCCTGGATCAGCAATGGTGTGGCCAGCAGGGCCAGGGCAGGGATTGGCCCCCTGTACTGGGCACTGGTGAGGCCACACCTCAAATCCTGTGTCCAGCTCTGGGCCCCTCACAACAGGAAGTATGTTGAGGTGCTGGAATGAGTCCAGAGAAAGGCAGTGGAGGTGGTGAAGGATCTGGAGCATGAGTCCTGAGGAGTGTGGAGTGACTGAGGGAGCTGGAGATGTCTAGCCTTGAGAAAAGGAGCCTCAGGGAGACTTTGTTTCTCTCTACAAGTACCTGAAAGGAGGATATACTCTCCATACCAGGTGGGGTCCGTTTTTTCTCCAAAGTGTTAAGGGGTCTGACCATAGGAAATGGCCTCAGGTTGTGCTAAGAGAAGTTTAGATTGGGCATTTGGAAAATTTTCTTCCCTGAAAGGGTTGCAAGCATTGCAACCCAGGCTACCCAGTACAGTGGAATCACCATGCCTGCAGGTATTTAAAAGATGTGTGGATGTGAAACTTGGGAAGTGGTTCACTGCTGTTCAGTGCTTAGCACTGCTGGTTTAGAGGTTGGACTCGATGATCTAACAGTCATTTCCAACCTGAATAATTCTGTGGTTGTGTGATTTTGTTTTGTAGATCTGCTGACCAAGAAGAGACTTCTGTTCTCCCCCTTCTTGATGCAGGCTTTGATAGGGTATGTATCAATTGCCTATGTAATATAGAAAACATAGTAGCTTCATAAATTACAAACACTTCTGCTTCTTCAAATTGAAAAGTACACATCCTCTTCTGTTAGAAATTTATTGATAAGAAACCAGTGGCAGTTGATTTAGTTTTCCTTTCAGGAGTATTCCAGAAGCATATGAAACAAAAAGCTCTGTGATCTAGGTCGTCCTTTCAGAATAGCAGCTGTACTGACATTACCTTCTTGTGGTCTGGCTGGGTAGCGGGTGTGTTTTATGACTGCACTAAGAAACAGGGGTGGGAGGCTCTGATTAACACATCGCAGCATGCTGACTCGTCACCCAGACCCCTCCATGTGTCTCAGGCTGCTAGGATTTCTCTTCTAAAGGGACTACAAACCTGGTCCAGCTCGTGAAGATTTTTTTCCCCCCGTAATGTCTGAAATGTTGGTTTGCACAAGTTTTTCTCAGTACAGAGTTAGAGACACTCCTGTACCAGAAACAGAAGGGAAGATAACTGTTCATACTGTTCCTCAAAGGGCTTTGTAGGAGAGAGCAGAAAGGCAGGAGTTCTCAGCTCTGAAAATCTAGGTTGCTTACCCTGTCCCAACATTTGTGTGAGTGGCTTTGGTTGGATATTAATGTTATGTTATTCTCAAATAAACCAGCTGCATTTTTTAAGTTAGCCATTCATAAGGAAGGATGTGTACTTAGGCATAAGAAGCACATCTGAAGAATTAGTTAGAATTAACTGTATATATTTTCTTTAAAATATACATATTTAGGAAAATTAACTGTAGTAAGGAAAATTAGAGAAGAGATGGAATTAACCCAGGCAAAAATCTCATTCTCCTATGCTCATGCTGAGTCCAGTGTCTTAGCCAATTCACACTCAGCCTAAGTTTGTTTATACAGCAGAACATGAACCAGAATTAACATTTTCAGATGATCTCCCAAAAATAGAGGTATAAGATCTTGCCTGTACTGCAAGAGTATTGTGGGACCAAAGCATTTCTAAAGCACTTAGATGCTCTGAAAATTGGAAATGTTAGTCTAAGAGAAAGGTCAGCCCAAGAATGCCAGTGTTTTATTAATGTAGTTTCTCTCTCTCTCTCCCTCTCTCTCTCTCTCTCTCTCTCTCTCTGGCTTAAATATTTTTCAAAGAGAAGTTTATTACTTCTCAGGTCTACTGTTTCATTTGAACACAATGTAGGGCAATGTGTTTTGTAAGCTAGATTAAAACTGTAGGTGTAGTACTGAGTAAAGTCGGAGGAGACTCTGTGGCTGTGAGACATGGCTCAGTGAAACTCTCTGCCTTGGAAAAAAGAATCTTTTTGCACCTGACAGCTGTGCTACTCTCTCTTGCTGTCCCACATTTATCAGAGGGCTTGAATAATGTAATAATTGCCTATTGGAATTATTTTCAAGATTTTAAAATGCATCTGATGTGACAGTTTCTTTTTTGCTGTGGGGTGGACATAGGAATTATTTTTGCTTGGATGGGGATCAGGGGACTAAATGCATTACCACACAAAGATTTAAAAATGCCTCTCTTCAAACAGAGAGGTGGTATTTGCAGGGTCTTGTCTCTTCCTCATCAGCAAAAATTAAATTTATTTTTGGAAAATTGCAATCTGTTTAAATCATATTTTTTTTTATGCTGACTTATTTCTGGTTTTTCCTCCTTCTTCTTAAGAAAGTTCATTTTATTACATCTGATTTTCCCTCTATATCATTAACAACTCTTGTGTTTGTGTATTAATGCTGTTGCTAATCCAGGACATTAATTATGCTTTTTTTTTTCCTCTCAGCCTCATAAACCTAATAGTGGTGGCCTACTTAGGATGGGCTAATTTGAATAAGCAATTTAGCTTCCTGACTGATTTTTAGCTATGATTTAAATCAGCAAACAGGAGATCTTAATGTTTGCAGTTACTGAATTACAACCTTGTCTTGTATTTTGAACCTCTTTTCCTAAACAAATGTTGATTCTCATTGACCAGATACTATTAAAACTTACTAGATTGGAATAAAAGGAGTCTTTAATATTAAAATGAATTCTTATTGCTAAGCTTATTCTAAAAAGAAGAATGCATTACTGCTAGTTTATAATTCCTGTGGCTTGTACTAAGTTCTGCATAGAACAACAGTGGAATCCCATTATAATGAAGTAAGAAATAATTTAAAACTATATGTTACTTAAAATGTACTGCATAAATATGAAACTTTTAAAAAATAAAGTGTTTTGTCTGTCTTCTAATATCTGCAAGTTCAGAAATCTTCTTAATCTTGTGTCACATTAGAAGCACAGATTAGAAAAAGAAATGTTTCCTGCTATTTTCATGTCCCAGTTGATTTCTCAGTTTTGAGTCAGCCAGCGAATGACCAGCATCAGCACTATAAACTTAGATAAAGTGATTCTTTAGATCTGCAGAAGACTATACAACAGTTAAGAGCATGGTTAGCACTTTGATAAGCTGCAGTTCTTGTTTCTTAGCAAAGGATTTGTGCCAAGAATTTTGTCATTGAACAGCAGTGCTTAAATTTTTTCAGTAAAACACACTACTATAAAATTCAGTTTATAAAGACCCTTAGCATAATCTAGTAAGTCTATTTCATAAAATAGGTTGCCATCGTAGATAAATTTTATATTATTGAGAGTTGTTCTCATTCTTTTAAATTTAGCTCAAATGTATTTGAATATTTAAAAGAGTACCCAAAACCTGAAAATCTTAGTCTACACTGCTTTAGAAGAGAAGTTTGTTAGCAGGCTGTTTGATACACAAAACCACACCATTGTTTGCTTTGTTTCTGCCAACTTTTTATGGTACCTTTTGTTTTCCCATGTGTTCTGTAGCATGGGAGGTAAAAGTTACAGAAATATTTTAAGATGTCAACATTAAGGAGTAGAACAGACCCATGCCAACAGTTGTTTTTAATGTTACTTTTGTTATATTTTACTCACAACTTGGAATTAAGCCACTGGTGTCCAAAACACAGTTTTTCATACAGGACAGAAGCACAGATTTCTTGAAAGCTATTCTTTGGTGGTTTGCATGCTCCTCTGGACTGCGCATGCAGCTGTGCTGTGAGAACTAGTGACAACACAGGGCATTTCCTATGATAACTCAAATCAGTGCATGTGATTGATCAATAAACTTTAACTGAACTCAGAGAATATACTTCTTTTGTAGCAACATAAAATTTCTGATTTCAGCAGGACCAAGCACAAGACCTTTTAGACCTAACAGAGAACATTCTCTCCTATCTGGAGTAAAAGTTTTTTTCACTGTGGTCAGATGCTTCTTACTTTGTGTCCTTCTGAATTCACAGTGACAGCTCAGTGAATTGAGAAGCAAAGTTGCTTGACTTTTGGAAGCTTTAGCTTCAATATTTGCTTGGAAACAAATGCCAAATATATTTTTCTTTCTTTTTTTTTTAGCATGTATATTTTATGTCTCTAAGGTTTTCCATTTCCATTCTGAATTAAGGATAGACATTCAAAATAAAACATCAAGGCAATACTGGTTTTGTGTGAGACTGTGTGTGTGGGGGGGGGGTTTGGAGTATTTGGTGGGTTGCTAAAACCAAATGGGAAAATCTAGCAAAGGAATTCGCATTTTTATACTTGCTTTGTATTTAGATATTTGTATAGTCTTAAAAACTAGAAACTCATTCCCAAGGGAAAGGTTATTATTCACAACACAAAAGGTACAACAAAAACTTTTTTCTACCAGAAAAGAAAGTATGGTTGAGGTTGGAAGGAACCTCTAGAGGTCATCTTGCCCAACCTCCCTGCTCAAGTAGAGCCCCCTAAAATAAGTTTAGGACCATGCCACACAGTTTTTCAACATCTCCAGTGATGGAGATTCTGCAACCTCTCTGGGTAACCTGTGCCCAGGTCACCCTCCCAGTAAAAAAAAAAAGTGTTGCCTGATGTTCAGGCTCCCTGAAACTCCTTTGTTTCTGTTTGTGCCAATTGCCTCTGGTCCTGTCACTGGGCATCACTGGAAAGAAGCTGGCTGGCTCTGTCTTCTTACAGTCTCCCTTCAGATATTTATATGCCTTGATATATTCTCCACTTCAGTGTTCTCCTTTCCAGGCTGAAAAGTCCCAGCTCTCTTGGCCTGTCTCACAGCAGAGGTGCTTTATCACCCTTGTGGGCCTTTGCTGGCCTCAGGCCAGCTTTCTTTAAAAAGTTAAAGTTTTAGATGCAGAAACAGAAAAAACAGTTTAAAACTATTCCAGCCTATTTCATGCACTCTTGATTTGTCTTTCAGCAATTCATGGAGAACAGCAGCGTAACTGCTTGTTACAATGAACTGGTTCAAATAGAACGTGGGGAAGTGCGATCTCAGTTCAAATTACGGTATGTAGAGGTGTGAGAAACTGCAAACATCAACTTCTTGGTCTAAACAATTGCATCATGTTACTTTCTGCTTCTTCCCAGCTAAGCATTTGTGTACCTTGCATCTGTATGTTAACTAATACGCTATTCTTTTATATTTTTTCCTTCTGTGTTTTTGTAAAGGACAAACTCAGTGCCTTAGTAACTGGTACCCTGAGAAATCTTGGTCAGTGTAGGTGGGAGCTGTGATTTTATATGATGGTAAAACTTTATAAAGTCATCCTTGATCTCATGTGTCTGAGCTTTCATATTAGGAGGCTTGAACTGAATGCAATCTTGAATCAGCTCTGAGTTTTTATTTTCTTGCTTGGCCAAGACTTGGCAGGCCAGGAGCACAGTTTTATATGTTATTGAGCACAGTTTTATATGTTATTGAGTGCATTCCCACATGCACTTTTTCTTTAATGTGACTAATTTTGTATTTAATATAGGTGCTTTTGCATGCACGTAGATATTTTTGCAATGCAACCATATGAAACAATAGGAAGGAAATGCAGAGAAAGGGCTGTTCTCTCTGTGGCATAAATTAATTTGAGTTCCATCTACAGAAATACTATCACTTTTCTACAGGTTTCAGTGTCTCTGTTTCACAAGTTGATTTTTTCTAAGATTTCTTTGCAAACTGATACCAAAGTGACTTTGCATTTTGAGTGATTGCATATTCATGCACACAAACTGCAATGACAAGAGAATTCCAGGGAAAAAATTGGATTTTGGTTTACACAATTTTAATAGTTGTTTTCTAAAACTCAGCAAGAATGTCTTCCCCTTACCTCTGTCTTATTAGAGAAATGCCATTAAAAACTCATCAGAACTGATACTGGTTATGGCATTCAGGTATAACTTTTTTTTTCATTTCATAAGGGGGGAAAAGAGTGCTGCACTGCACATCTGTGCTGCTAGTTGATGATCTGGGAGTCTTCTATACAGCTTTGTAAAAGTGAAAGGGAAGAGAATGCAGAAAGTTAGTTGATAGAATTAAACTCAGGATATGTCACGTGTTCAGACACAAGAGAAATGTAATGAAAAAGTAGCACCAGCCCCAGAGAGAAGTAAATGAGGTCATGTCAGTGGTCAGAAGTGGCTTTCCATTCCTAGCACAGACTCCCCTTTTCCACATAGCTGGTTCTGGTTTGAAACTTGGTTGGACATCTGTGTGCTAATTAAAGGGGATATGGGCCATTTAAACTTGTAATTTTGCTGGCTTGCTTGTCAGATCAAATGGAAATACTAAGGCTTGAATAGTGCAGACATATCTGTGTGTTTTCTTACAGAAAGTCTCTGTAATTACATTTGTTAGCAGCTGATGTACCAGACAGGCATCTATCACTGAGACAAATTAGTTCCTTCACACAGCACAAAATCACACTTGGGAACCAGCTTGAATTGCTAGAAAATCACATATAAAATTACACTCCAAGCTCCTTTTATTATATGAGCAGAAACACTTCTGTCATCTTCTGCACAAAATACTCTTTTCCCACAAATCTTCATTCACATGGTTGCATGTCTGTGTTTCCGCGTATGTCTCTTTGTGTATCCTATTTTGTTTTGAGTTACTTCCACAATAAGCAGAAGTAGTAATGTCCTGTATTTCTTAATTCTCTAGTCAGTTGTACTAATTCAAACCCTGCTATGCAGCCTGGAAGCAAGAGGTTTCTTTTAGGTAATAACTGTGTACAGGAATATTTATGCATGGTGCATTTTAGTTCCCTGAAATGAGAGTCATATAGAAGATAATTAGTTTGTCTTCAGACCAAATCAAAGACAAGGCACTGACATCTATCAAAGCAAGTATGACTAAGTTGTTTCTTCCAGTTCTCACTCTTCTGGGCCATGGTAGGTCTTGGAACTACATGATCTTCATGTCCCTTCCAACCCAAATCATCCTATGATTCTATGAGATATACATTTTTCCCTAGTATTAGAAGCCTATATTAATGTTAATGCCATCCTGTGTAAGTCATAATTTAAACAATTTGAATTCTGTACCAAGAAGGTAAGGCTTTTGTTTTCCTGCATTAGTTCAAGGATAGCCCTGAAAAAAAAAGGCAACAAAGATCATCTGGGTCCTGAAAGATGAGGATGTATGGAAATCAAGTCACTGCATTATTACTTGGAAGAAGGAAAATTGGTATTTTTTTTATTAGAACTTTGAGATGGGTCAAATTGTTTCCTTTAACTGTGTTGTATGACAGTTTCTTTGATAGTGCCAACCTACTTGCTGTACTAAAACTTTGTCTATATGTGCTGTCATGATTTTTGTGCTTCCAATCTTTAATGATCACAAAACTTTCTGATGTAATAGTAATGTATTATTTTTACTGCTAATTGTTCATTCCTGCTGTTCAGAGCATGTGTGTAGATACAAAAATACTCTTAAGATGCTGCAGCACCTGTGAGCACATTTACAACGTAATCTGCAGTAAAAGCACGTTAACAACAAGGATGTCTGAGGCTGGCTGTTCTGAAAAAGTCATAATAAAGATTGTGGCATGGTCTAGTCAAAACAACTGCTATTTTGTGGTTCATCTATCAATAAGTACAATTTAATCATGTATTTATAGTGAACAAAATGTTCTAACGATAAGACTAATGTGCTAATCGTTTGCTACTTGCAGGGCTTGTAATGCAGTGTTTACAGCATTAGACCATTGTCAGGAAGCTGTAGAAATAACCAGTGAAGATCATGTCATTCAGGTACGGGGGGAAATGTTAACTATTTTATAGAATTTGAAAAGAGGGAGACCCCAAAGACATCTTGGGTCAGTAGTTCCTGTTCTATATCAATATTTTAGTTTTGTTGCCCATTAGAATGTCTTGTGCAATGAACTGCTTAATTTCTGATTGCTGCACACTGATGCCTGCTGAATTTATAAGACTTTTCCTTCTGTAACTTCATTGAAATTATAGTTTTCGGTAATGTTGTTTCTGGTAAAACCTGCATTAATTCTCTTTCTGTGCCTTCTGATAGATTACATATTGCCTTCTCTGACTTGAATAAAATGTTTCACCATTACATAGTATTTTTATATGAGAATCACTGAATTGTAGGGATATGTGGTTGTGGCTTTAGCATATAACACTTTGATACTTATATATAACTTACTAGTTTTTAAATATTTTTTTTTTAATATTGTCCTAATGTACCTTTGTTTTGGCAGTATGTTAATCCAGCCTTTGAACGGATGATGGGGTACTGCAAGGGAGAACTTATTGGCAAGGAGCTTACTGAACTACCTAAAAGTGATAAAAACTCTGCAGATCTTTTGGACAACATAAACACATTTATTAAAAAAGGAAAAGTAAGAAAATATGACAAACTCTTGTGAAATCACTATAGAGTTCTATTCTGATTTGGTTTTATTGCTGTATGTTTAAGAACACTAGATGTATTCTTCATGAGTACACATATAAGACTAGAATTGTGTTTCTCAGATGTCTAAGCACAACACAGACCATGCCACTGACAAGTGACTACAGATTCCATTAGCTTTGCTTTTAGGATCTAACTGAACTCCTGCTGATTTGCTGGCTTAAGATCAGTATCAGAATGTTTTCTGTGTTTCTGTTTTGCTTAGAGCCCATGGAGCTTTTCTTAGATGCAATGTAACAGTTTGTCCCTCAGTCAGTCTCTCAGGTGGCTGAATCATCCAACTAGAATGTCTAACTTCTGTCAAACAGCAGAACCTTGCTGACTGCATACTTAAAGCACCAAAATGTATTGGCACCCAGTGGGGTGCCAATTGCTTTCCTAATAACTGCAGTTAGAATGTCTGCAATGCCCTGTGAACTCCCGTCCTTGAGGCGATGGGCCTGGCAATATGTTCCCCTAATACATGCTACACTCTTATCCCATCTCCCCTGGGTTGCAGAAATACCTCTTGCCCTTCCCTGTCTCACGTTCTGCTTCAAGACCTTTGGGGAGTTCGTGAATCTTTGAGTCACGTCCAGCAATGATCTGAGCTTTGTGAGTCACTGTCTGCAGGTCCACCTTGGTTCATTAGCAATACCTACAGGCCACTCCTGCTGTGCTCCTCCTCATTTATATGGGCTGCCCTGCAGCTAGCACTGTCTGCTCAAAGGTATCTTCTACCCATTCTCCAGCTTCATCCTACCCTGCTGCCAGGTAGTTCCCTCCTTAAGATATTTCCTCTTTGAGGTTAATTGAAGGACATATTTAGATCAAGGATTTCTGAAGTTTAGTATATATATCGCATGGCAACTGACAACTTCAAAGCTGAATGGTGTTTGGGCTTATTTCTGCTGGTGCCAGGGGATATCCTCTGGATGTGTTGCAGTCACTGCTCCTTATGGTGGCACCTAGCAAAAATGTTTGTCACCTCTTTAAGTAGATGATACCTAAAGTTCCTTGTAAAAATTGTAAAGTTCCTTGTAAAAAATACCTTCTCCCAAGAGGAACACAATTATACTCTCCTTATGTTAGTTAAAGATGTTGCTCTCCATTGGGTGAATAGTTGCTGCTCACTCTCTCTGTTATACTTGAGAGTACATTAATTTTATACAATTTTAAAAAATAAAACTATGAAATAAAAATAATTATTTAGTACATAAGAACTATGCAGTAATAAACAAATATTTGACTGCCAGCTATGTATGCTCAGATGCTGTCTCTGTTTTGTGTGTTTCTTTAGGAATGGCAAGGAGTTTACTATGCAAGAAGGAAATCAGGAGATAGTATCCAGCAGCACGTGAAGATAACACCTGTGGTTGGTCAAGGAGGGTAACTAACTTGTCCAGAACATAATTGCTTTCTGGGTTTTAGGGCCTTCTCTCTGCTTTCTGCATCTGTAAGTTGGACATGACCCTCCATGTATTTAGCAACTGGGAAACCCCTGTGTTTGTGTATGTGCTTGTACGTGTTCCCACCTTCGCAGTTTAGAACAGACATGTTGCCAAATTCTACTCCCAGATTTGCAGGAGAATTCCTGGACCAACAGAAGTATCAGGTGTCCTGCAACAAAAACCTCAATGTCACGCTGAAGGACTGCTTGTCACCCAGTTGTCTTGCTGGTGTTGGGCTTGGTATCTGTTTTCCTGAGGGTTTAGAGATCTCTCCTTTAGAAAATAGTAACATATCAATTCACTTCTGTCTTTACGATGTGATGGAGTAACAAGTGATAATTTCTGTTGTTAGGAAAATAAGACACTTTGTGTCCCTCAAAAGACTACATTGTACCAATGAAAACAACAAACAGGTATTGTATTTCTTTCATATGATAATTTTCATAGCTTTTAGTGAACTGATATTTTTTGGCTTATAAATTTTTCCAAGATGTGACCTATATTGTCAATGAGATTCTCGCTGATGGTTGGAGCAAGCAAGAAAATTTCAACATTTGCATGCATTAGTCTCTGTTTGTAGGACTCCTGAGGAAGACCATCTTTCATTTTCTGGAGCATGGACATGACAGTTGAGTCCATGATACGGTGGAGCAATACAGATTACAGTTCAAAGGGAGTTCAGGGCCTGTTTGTAGGGCTGCTCTTGCCAGTCTGATCTGCTGTACTTACACCAACTAATGATCCCTGCTCAGTGGCCCCAAGGTTTGATAAGTGTGGTACTTTTATGAAGTGCAGCCCTCATGCTGGCCCTGAGGCTTCACACACCTGCCAGAACAGGTGCTGTGGAAGGGTGCAACTCAAGCCACGACCCCAGTAAACCAGCAGCAGTGGCAGAGCTGGGACTCTGCAGTTCAGACACAAATCTACACCAGCTGCCCCTGCAAGAAACCTGGTGGTGTGGGGAGCTGTTTGCTGTCATCTTCTCCTCGCTTCCTCCCTCTGATGGTTGGTGTCTGAGGCAAATGATCGTATCACATACTTTGCTCCAGAAATACTCTAGTAAGTGCCATGTTGAGTAAAGAAGTCTAGAGTTTTGTGAGCAAAGGAGTGAAGCCCGTCTTTGGCATGTGGTCTCAAGGGGTGAGACAGAGAGTGGCTGGAAACATTTTAGACCAAGCACATGCTCTGTACATAGGATATGTTTCCATGTCATTTAGGAGGGGGGTTATGTATCTTGTTTCATTTAGAATTTTTTTATGTGCTTTTATCTGTAATGTGGGTAAAGACACTTAGGCATGAAAAGTATTTAGAAAATCACTAGTATGTCTAGTTGCCCTTTCTTCAGTAGAATAATACTGAATATTAACACATTACTGGAAAACCACTACTTCTAAAAGAATTTCATAGGGGTAGCATTTGACTGTTGAAACCATCCTCCTTGCACAAGTTTTTGTGGAGGTAGGTAGTAACAAATCAAGGAGAACTCTGCATAATTCTTGGAAGAAATTTGCATGTCTATCATTGAAAAATAAGATTCATAGTATTTTAAACTGACTTTCATCTTTGAACTAAAACATGTGTTTTAGTATTAGCAGCAAAATATCATTTACGGTCACAGGATGTTTCAAAATGCTCAGGCTAGAGTGCAACAGAGTTTTATAAAAGCAGTGATAAAGTTGCATATATTTTTAATTCATTGTTTAAACCTCATAACTGTTGTTTCATTTATAACTGCTTTGATGTTGATTTGCAAGTAAGACATAATCTAATGGCTTTTTCTATATTATACACATAACTGAAAGACTGGTACAGGAAGGTGTATATATGATACTCTTAATGAAAGATAATAAGTATTACGAACTTGTACTCATATGTAAAAAATAGCAGTAGGAATATAAGAAAAAAGTAATTTTTTTTGTCCTTCTTTGCCCTGTAGATTGCACTGCTTATACCAGTAAGAATCATGCAATCATAGATTGATTTGACTGGAAAGGCACCTTAAAGATCACCTAGTTTCAATCCCCTTGTCACAGGCAGGATCACCTTCCACTAGAATAGGTTGTTCAGAGCCCCACCCAAGCTGGCCTTGAATTTCCAGGGACAGGGCATCCACAGCTCCTCTGGGGAACCTGTTCCAGTGTCTCACCACCCTCAGTAAAGAATTTCTTCCTGATAGCTAGTTGAAACTTACTCTCTTTCAGTTTAAAACCATTGCCTCTTGTGCTATCACCATACACCCCTGTAAAATTTTATTTATTTTCTTGTAGGCCCCTTTAGTAATTGGAAGGTGCTAAGAGACTTCCCAGAGTCTTCTTTTCTGCAAACGGAACAACCCCAACTCTCTCATCCTTTTCACATAAGAGAGGTGCTACAGCTCTCTGGTCAGTTCTGTGGCCCTTCTCTGGATCTGCTCCTGCAGGTTCATGTCTTATGCTGGAGGCCCCTCCAGTGGTGCTGTGGCCCCTCAGGCAGCTGTGACATTGCAAAGCTGGGTGTCATCAGCCAGCCTGCTGATGGTGCACCTGGTCCCACTGGCTGTGTCCCTGACAGAGATGTGAGTAATCCTGGCCCTAGTGCAGAGCCCCAAGGAGCACCACTCGGCACTCCTCTCCACCCAGACTCCTGGCCACTGGCCACAACTCTTTCAAGCAGGAGCATTCAGGCAATTCCTTACCCACTGGGTGGTCCACCTGTCAAATCCAGGGCTCTCCACTCTAGAGTCAAGGGCATGCAAGGAAGCATCAAATGCTTTGCACAGGTTCACTTAGATGACATTCCCTTATCCACCCAGGGTAGGAGGCCACCAAATATGTCAGGCATGATTTGCCCTCAGTGAAGCTGTGCTTGTTGTCAGCAATTATCTTCTTATTTTCCATATGCCTTAGCATAATTTCCAGTGGAATCCGCTCCATGGATTGCAGGGCACAGAGGGGAGACTGGCCTGTCATTCCCTTGGTTTTCCTTTTTCTTTTCTAATCTTTAGAAATGACAGTTAACTAAATTTCCCCATTTCCTGGAAACTTCACTGGACTGCTATGACTTCCCAAATCTGATAGACAGCCCCTTAGCCACTTCCTCCACCAAGTCCTTCAGGACTCACAAATCCTGATCAGGTCCTGTGATCTCGTGCACCTTCAAGTTCCTTGGATGTTCCCAAACCTGATCTCTCCTACACTGGGTGGTTTTCATTTTCCCAGTCCCTGCATTTACCTCCTGTGACTAGGGAAATACATGTAGCTGGAACACTTGCCAGTGAAGACCAAGGCAAAAGAGTCAGAGAGTACCTCAGCCTTCTATGTGTCCCAGGTAACCACATCTCCTGTTTCCTTCCAGAGAGGGACCACATTTTCCCTAATCTTTCTTTAATTCACCAAGGTACCTATAGAAACTTTTCTTGCTGTCCTTTATGTCCCTGGCCAGATTTAATTCTATCAGGCTTTAGCTTTCCTAACATGATCCCTGGCTCATCAAAATTTCTCTGTATTATTCCCAGGCTACCAGTCCTTGTTTCCATGCTCTGTAGGCATCCTTCTTTTGTTTGAGTCTGTCAGCAAGTTCTTTGTTCATCCACACAGGCCTTCTGGCATTTTTCTGACTTCTCTTTGTTGTGAAGCATCATTCCTGAACTTGGAAGAGGTGATCCTTGAATATTAACCAGGTTTCTTGGGCCCATCTTCCCTCTAGGGCCTTATTCCATGGCACTCTACCAAGCAGGTTCCTGAAGAGGCCCAAGTCTGTTCTCCTGAGGTCCATGGTAGTGAGTTTACTGTGTGCCCTCATCAATGCCCCGAGGAGGATCTTATACTCCTTCATGATTGCTGCAGCCCATGCTGCCCTTGAACTTCATGTGCCCCATAAGCCTCTCCTTATTAGTGAGAAAAAGGGAAATTAGGAAACAAGGACTTGTGTCCACAGCAACATTCATATTCTCCTGTACTGCTGGAAAGTATCATCCATTCCTGTCTCTTTAATACTGGTTCATGAGAAGCTACTAATAAATTAAGCACTATAGACCTGGGAAGATTTACACATTTGGTGATCCCAGGGAATATGGCCTTCAAAAGGTTCTCCACATATACAGAGGTCTGCCACAAATGTTAAAGACTGCAGCCTAAAGAGAGTATGGTCTGTGGAGATTTTAGGTCCCTTGGGAAAAAAATAAGGTGTGTTTGATAGAACTATGCAATTGTTGTTTCACTTCTGTCACAGAAATATCTCATGCCTGTAGGAGATCCTGGACAATGCAGTTTTCCTAATATCCATGCTTTAATATTTGCAGCAGTAGAACTTTTCCTTAGAGTAAAAAAATTTGGCTCCTTTTCAAGCTACAGATAAATCTTTATTGAAGAATAAAAGGAAATAATTAAATATATACTTAAGTTACAGAGCAGTAAAAGTTGTCATAGTTCAAATTTTGATGTCAAATGTCTAATGTTTCACTAAATCAATATAATTTTAAACATCTTGATCTCAGCATTCAGACAGTATATGTTGATTTCAAAACATCCTTACATCATTACACCATTACACATTTCCACCTTAAAAAAAGTATATGTGTTTTTTGCCAGTACCAACATCCTCTGTAAGGGATATCAGAGACCACTGGAACCTTCTCAATTTCCATGCCAGATTTATCACATAGAAAAACTCAGCATGTTAAATTTATGCATGGAAAAAAAATACCTAAAAGAGCATTAAGCATTCTTACAGTGAAGATTTATGAATGAGGATTGACTTTCATGTGACTATTCCCGTGTGCTGAGCCTAGGTAATTATTAATGCTGCCATTGTCAATTTGAGACCTGGCAGGATAGAGTCCAGTGTTTTCACATTCATAAATTTACAAGAGAGGTGTTGTTTCTTTCAAGAACATATTGACCCAAGATTAACTGTGTAACTGCCCTCATAACTTACCTTACATGGCTCTTTCAGGACATGCCTGCAGAAGGGGAAGAGAAGTATTCAGGACAGAAACGTGGTTTATTTTTTTAGTAAAGCACTTGGAGGACTGTGCCTATGTTTCTGCCAGTTGTGCAGTAGAAAGAGATATATCCATTGCCTTTGAAAGAAGCTCCTGGATGAGGCCAGAACAAGCAGTTCAGATGCCTTTTGTCACTGTCACCATATTTGATGAGATTTCCTTAACCTTACTCTGTTTGGATGAGTTTATTTCTCTGAGAGTTTCTACATGGTTACAAGAAAGGTGTTCAAACTTTTGAAATTTTTTCAGATGAAGAGTCAGTTCTTACACTCCCCTGAACAAGAATTATATGGAGCATGAGCAAAGGGTTTCTCTTTCTTGTTTTTTTTTTAATTTGTTACAAAAAGCCATGCCTGAATTTTGAAAGAAGGAAATTTCCATTTTCTTCTCTTCTCCTTTCACCCTCTGTCTCTCCCCCCCACAGCAGAAAGGAAGAAACCAAAGGTGTGCAAGAATGACAGAATGACAGAAAAGAGAATTTGTGTCATTCTTTTCCTTTCTTTCCTGAATAATCCCCATGAGGACCTTGCAGCATGCACAGTCACAAACTGATAGAGACCAGTAAAAGCACACAAGTACAACCTTGTCATACTCTCCTTTTAACTGACAGGTTGCAACCATGGATTTCATGCTTCCATGTAATCTAGTGCTTTACTACAGGCAGATGGTGGATTTGGTCAGAGCAACCATATGACAGTAATGGACTCCTAAATATTATGTGTACTGAATAATTTGTAATTACAGTATCAAGCACTGACAATTATTCATCTGAAGTAAGAGGGTATGTGTATCTTCTCTAGTGACTGCAGTAAAAAAGTAAGCATTATTCCTAGTAAGCATTATTTCTAGTCTTTCTCTGTGACTCCGTTAGCTATACTTACATACATCACACACCAATTTTCAAGAAATAGCTTGAGGAACTGCCATTTCTGGTCTGCTTTCCTATCAACAGCAAAACACTTTCTTGTAATCACATAACAAAGGAAAGGAGTGAGGTGATTAGCAGGTATTAAACTGTCATGAACTGGACAGTACTTTTGTTTTTGAGAAGAATGAAAAAGCAGAGGAACATTTAATCTGTGTTACTGCAGACCAGGCAATAGCTGTAAATTTTAATATATGGAAATATCCTATCTAAATTCTAAGAAAGCTTGAAATACCTACTGTTGGAGATACCTAAAATGTTTCAGAAGAACAAAGAATTAAGATTTCATGCTTAATTATTCATTCATGAGAATGATTAAAAACTACTTGAAAATAAAGGTCTGATGAACAACAACTACCTCTACCCCTTATTTCCTGGAGAACAGGTTTTAAAACTGAGTTTTTTGAAGTCCAGTTTATCAGTTATCCATGAAAGGATCATTCAAAATTAGCTTCAATAATTCTAAGAAAAATATGTTTAAAGGACAAAAAATAATGTTGTAGGTTTTATTTTATTCTTTCAGGTTCATATGCAATTTGCACTTAAAACACTACCTAAATGAGTATCAGTTCCCTTGTAAACACAGGCATGAAACAGGAATTCAGTACATAAAAGCACTTGTATCTGTGATTTTCTGCAGGACCTATCTGTTTGCTTTCATATTATTTCTCTACATCTAATTACACCTGAAGAAGAGTTTTTGCCAAACAATTTTTTTTAGATAGCTGAATGGAAAATGCTGAATATGGACAGTGTTGAATGCAGCCTGTTTAAAGTTTTTTGTATTCTTTTTTCTTACATATATATTCTACTCTTATCTCCAGCTCTCCAAGAGTCACCATGAGGATAAGTGCACTGGAGACAATTCCCAGTCAGGTTAGAGTATTACCCTTTACCTCTACATTCCTCTGTGCTGGGAGCTGTGTCAGGGTTCTCTGCTGGAATTAATTGTTGTGTCTTCCCCCTGTCCGGTCAGTGGTCAGAGCTGATGGCCAAGGACAGATGCCAGCTGCCTCTGATACTACACCAAGAATTGGACTTGTAATCATCAATAATTGAGTCTCCTGTGCAGACCTCTTGCTGCGCATTTGAAGTTCTGTGTTTGTTCCTGTGGCTGGTGTACCTTGGCACCTCTTTGTGTTTGAAATGTGGAATGTGCTGATTTGTGCCAGCACACCTGCCACAGTGTGTCCAAGTTTAGGACCTGTGAGCAGGCCATTGGTTTGGCCCCAGCACAGGCTAAGACAGTTGTCTCTGAGGTGTCCAGGCCTGAGCAACTCAGTTCCAGTCAGCACAGAGTTGCTACAGGATGTCTGCAACCCTTGTCTTGTGTCTTAGGTAGGTTTACTTACTCACAGACAGCGCACTCCAGCCCTCCTTGAGTTTTGCAGAGAGGTTTTGACTAGAAATGTGGAGCATGAGGGAATAATTCCTTCCTCCAATGCTATGTAGGGTTTGGAATACCCCTTTTCCCTGAAGAAGGAAGTACGTAAGGCCAGTTTTAAGCTTGTGACTCTAGTGGTCTCAGCCAGACTGATGTCTTATAATTATGAGTGAAAAGGTTCTCATGCCTTGTTACCTTCTGGCGCCTGAAGCCTTTCCTGCTATGAAAGGTGAGACAATGTTGCTGTTCCATTTCAGGCAGCTTCTGGTTTTCACATGGGAGGAGGATATAACATATTAAGAGCATGGGACATGACTGCTTGACATCCCATGCTCTTTCAAGGAGCCTAAGAATATATACAAACGTCTGAGAGCTTTGTGATGCCAAATAGCAATGGGCAGGGGGAAGAAAAGACAATATGAAATTGGCTGTCCTCATTCCCATTGCTGCTGCCAGAACTGATCCACAGTATATTAGACCATTTGCTCCTGTATCCCTGTAACAAAAGCAGATTTTCTTCTCGCTGTTTCTGTCCTGCAAACAGGAAGGTGAGGAAGCCCATAAATTAAGCAGGACACTTGTTACTAACATATTTATATTAGCTTGCTAATGTTTTCAGTTTGCTCATTATTGTGACAGATTTCAGCAAGACTGGGAAGCCCCATGCTATGACACCACATTGATGACAACATTGCAGTGAAAGTAGGCAGTCTCAGAGCATGTGATGTAGTTTATCCTTCCCTGCAGTCCATGGCTGTGCTCCAAGAATAACATTTCAGAGCCATGGGCATATACTGATATGTGACGAGCATAGAAGAGTAATCCGTGTGTATCATGCTGTTTGCAGTGGTGTGAAATTTGTAACAACCTGGATGATAAGATTTTCTGCTCACCAGGTAAAGAAAAAAATTTTACGTAGGCATTTAAATATTTACAGATGAAACCACAGTACGGTAGAGAGTAGCTTTTACGCACCTGTGACTCTTTGGGTGGCACTAGGAAAGTATTTGACTTGCTAGTTGGTATTTAACACAAGGAGAGTTGTTTTGTCAGCTATAGCCACTCACAGCTATGTTTATGTGTAAATGCTTGCTCCCACTGAAGTGCCTTATGATAAAGTCATCCAAACGTTAGTGAAAGAATAAATAAAATTATTTAACATGCATTAGCTATGCCCTGCTCTTAGGTGTCAGCAGAGGAAAATGCTTTCCATTTCTCCAGTTCAGACTACAACAAAGAAGACCCAAACTGTCTGTGGTAGAAAAAAAGAATTAAGACAGAAACTATTTCAGTAATTTTTAGGATGGATGAATTTTTAATTCTGGAGAATTGTATGTTAACATTTTATTTTGCTAAAGTGAGGCTGCATACATCCTGTCTTGTGACATTATAATGAAAATTCATCTTTATGTTAAGAATATCAAAATCATACTTTTGACTCTTCAAATGCTGTTATTAGCTTTTGAAAGCCTGCTAGGGTCTCTGATCCTTGAGTGGCATTTCAGATACCTTGAGAACAGGTACTATCACCACTTTCCACTCTTGGAAACAGCATAGTTTCTGTTTTAAAACATAAGGGAGAGTGCAGACTTTAATGTATTGCAGAAAAATGAAATTTTACCAGATTTATTGTTTTTTAAACTCCTTCCTGTCATTTCATCCAGCTTTTGAATTTGACTGGATGTGATAATTTCTCTGGCTCTAGCAAACAGCCGTTTCAAGAATAAGTTTATTGCATAACTAATATTCAGAAGAACTAAATGGATTGTTTAAGAATTTTCAGCACATTAGATTTTCCTTAAACACAGGGTGCAAATATTTATTGCAAATAAAAGGAAAAGCTGTCGGAGCCTGAACTATGCTTTGGCTTTAAGTGTAGAGTAAGAGGAGACTGTTCTCAATTGGCTAAAGTTTTAGGCAGTTAAACTCAGGCTTGTTCAGTGGTCAGAGCAGAGCAAAAAGAACTCACACAAGGGATTCAGCCCACCTGCCTGAGACATCTCTCCTGAAGCAGGATCTCTGAAAACCTTACATGGTGGCAGCCTGCAAGACTGCTGCTTTTAGGGAGCTAAAGTTAGGTGAAGCAAGACTTCTGTTCCATAAGGCATCTTGACTTCCTTGCAAAAGACCCTGCCAGGTGACTTGAGACAAGTTGCTTTAAGTTGATAGACACCAAGTTCCTTGTTCTGATGTGCAGAAATTGCAGTATTTCCCCCAGTTGTGTGATATTGTTAAGATCACTTAATTAAATTTCCAAAATTTTAGATGGATATTTTGTAGAGGCTTTACTTGATACATTTTTAAAGCTTTTGTTTTGTACTTACAGAATCTGGTTCTTACACGTGCAAGAACAGAAGGAAAGACTCAGTTGATGTTAAGTCAATAACATCTCAAAGTAGTGATGGTAAGAAAGCAAACTGTATGTACAATACTGTAAATATACATGAATATATATTTATAAATAAATAAAGAACAGACTTGGCTTGGGCAATAAAACTGCAGAACAAAAGAATAACCAGACAGATTCACAGCTGGTTAAACAGAGATTACTCCATTTTTTTATAACTCCTGTAAAATTTCTTTCTGATTTGCAAAGCAGTATCCCAGCATAAGTACCAGCATTGCTTACAATGCATGACAGTCCTGGATGCCTTCACAGGGAGGAGGAGTGACTGTGGCAAGGGACAGAAGCAGCTTATTAAAAGAGTGTGTGGTGAAGCATTAATGCCACCTCTCTTAGAAAACTGCAGCTTGTGCTCCTAAACACGTATTTCGGTTTATTCATGTTTAACATGAAGGAGCCTATTGCTGCTGGTTACTTGAGAGCCATACTTCTGACCCCATTTGTGACTGCTTACTGGGGTGGAACAATGGTGGCAGGGATTTCTTTCTGCCCCTGTGTGTAGCGAGAGAAGCACTGCTTGTGGGGAGCAGGAAGGGTTTTCTTTAGAGCAACCATACCACCAAGATGAGGGACACACACAGACTTAAAGGAGAAGCCATGTCTGACAGAGATCCATTGCATCAAAGGGCATGAAGTGTAAGTACAACTCCATTCCGAAGTGAAGGATGGATGGAAAATCTGACAGCAAAAATGAGGGGTGGCTGCCAAGGAGGCAGACAACAGTACAAGAAATGAAACAATGAAGAACTTGCAGGGGGAAAGATACAGGAGAAATGGAACACAAGGCTGTATTTCATTGTGCTGTGCCCCAGCCTTCTGCACTCTTTAAATGCTGTCATCTGATTCACACTCTATGGCTCTTTAATGGCAGCTCCAAGTTTACAGACCCGACGCTACTCCTCAATGGCACGGATTCATTCTATGACAATAGAAGCTCCTATCACAAAGGTGAGTCCTGAGCACTGACTCTTCCACAAACTCCAGAGTTTCGAGTTGCACTCATAGGGAAGTATGCAGTTTCTGGAAAGACAGAGGCTTCCTGCAGTTTGTATTTAACAGAGTAATATAAGTAATTTGTTTTTATTAGCACTTTCTACATCTCATCATGGCATTCCAAATGCTAGTCATAAGGAAGAATATTAAGGAGAGAAGAATGCCCTGCTACATGCATGGCTTCTGGCAGGAAGGGGACACTGCTCTGTTGGGTCATGTGTGAGTAGGAGGATGTTCTTCCAGTCTCACCTTTGCTCTCACTATTGATATTTATAAGATACCCTGCAGAAGAGGGAGCATCGGCACCATCTTCTGTCTCCCCCAGTTTCTGCAACCTTTCTTCACTCTGCCACACAAATTGTGTGTCACAATTGGCTGTCACAAATCAGCTGCACAGTCACTTGTAACACACCAGGGTGTCAGGTACCTTCCACTTTCAAATAATTTTTTCCTCTCTCCCTATCTTTTCTTGCTATCATCAAGCTCGCTCTTCCCAGCACCACTGTGACTGTAAGAACAACTGGCTTCTTTCCTTTTCCTTATCCTCAATCATACCCACAGGGAGGCTTGTAGTGGCTGTGCAGCAGCCTCTGGCTCCTGGAGAAGACAGCACTGGGACTTTCTTCCCTTCATTCTTGGCAGAGCCAGGAGCAGTCACTGCTGCATTTCCGGATTGTGGCTGAGGCACAGTGTGGATTTCAAAGAGCCATCCTCTTCTCCTACAGTCCAGTACCTTCTGCTCTCTGCCTTTGACTTCTACAAGAATATCATGGTATAATATCAGCATATCTGAGTCACATCCATGAGTTTGTTTGTTTGGATTTTCCTTCAGGGATTGAATAATTTGTTTCAGAGCAGACCTGGATATGCTGAAGTACCAGGACATTGCTGGTTTTTGGTCCACTCACTGGTAACTATTTCACACCGTTCTACTTCCACTTCCCAGGAGTTTGCCAGTTAAAAATAGCAGACGGATACCAGGAAATCTGAGCACAAATTTACATTTTCAGAGTTGTACTTCAAGGGTTGTGGGGAGTTACATTGCATTTGATGAGAATTAGCATAATCGAGACAAGAATAAAAATTTTGTAATAAGAAAAAGGTGCCATTCACTTTTCTTTGCCTGCCTCCTTAATCTGCCTTCAGGTTATTAACATAATTAACGCTGCCCAGGAAAACAGCCCGATCACAGTAGCAGAGGCGTTGGACAGAGTTCTGGAAATCCTGCGGACAACAGAACTTTATTCCCCTCAGTTAGGTACCAAAGATGAAGATCCTCACACAAGTGATCTTGTTGGAGGTCTGATGAACGTGAGTAAAATTAGTAAAGACAAAACTGCTGGACCAGTATCCTACATCACAATTCACTGCTTCACTGTGCTAAAATTTCCCAAGCAATGGGAAGGGAACTTGTAATTCATCACCATTTCAGTTAAGCATTTTGGCCTCTTTACTAGCAGTACTGCAAGATGTAGTAAGCTATGGCCACATTTCAGTCCACTGTGCACATTCATCCTCAGATACCAGTGAATAGACTTGCCACCAGAAACTATATCCAATCTCTCAGAAGATACTGAAGGAGATACTTTATAGAAACTCTAGAAGCTTATATGGGATTAGAGGGATTGCTCTATAGTTAGTCCAGTGTATCATTGAGGTTGCTTTAATCAAGCTCTAATTTTGGTCCTGCAGCAGCAGGAAGAGACAAACTATCAAAATTTTGTCATGGATTTACTCATTTTTAATAGACACTGAACTAATCCCCACCAAAATAATATAAAGAAAATGAAAAATAAATTATAATGACTGATTTGAATGATGGAGGTGCCAATGAGAGGGTCAAGGTGGGCAATACACTGTGTATTTAATATCTTTTCTGGAGATCTCATACCAGTGTTCCAGGGATCCTTTCATGTTTGTTTTGAAAGACCCTAAAACCAGGATTATGCGATAGTGCTGCAATAAGAGCACTGCTTTTAGTACCCAGGAATAGTACCTAAAATGCATTTAGTGTTTTTGAAACTAGTGATACAAAAAAACTAAGATAAACTGGCTTTCTTTTTCAGGATGGCTTGAGAAGACTGTCTGGAAATGAGTATGTGTTTTCTAAGAGTAAGCCACCATTTTAAACTTCCCTTTGCACGTGTGACTTCTTTTGTTAGTACTGCTAACATACAGCTTCAGGCTAATTTGCAGTGGAATATATGTCTGTGGAAATGGCTGTCTAAATGACTGCAGCAGAAGTGCCAGGCTGCCTCAAATTTGGTGTTGAAACAGGCTCAAACAATTAAAATAATGCATTTCAAAATGTTAGCAAAAAACCAAATTGTCACTCAAAGAAATGTCCACTGATCTGGTTTATGTTCAAATGCTCTGTAAGAAACCTTTCTATTATAGGCATTTACAGACTTTTTCATGTAAGGAGAAAAAGTTGTTTTTCTTGAAAAAGAGTTGCTTTCTAAATGGAATTCTGAGGAGGGGCTGTGGTAGTGTAGAGGGAATAACCTAGAAATGTGTTAATTCCCAAATTCCATTTCAACAGATACGAACCTGAGCCATACTCACCTTCCAGTGCCAAACACCATCAATGATGTTCCACCCTGTATTGCACAGCTCCTAGATAACGAGGAAAGTTGGGACTTCAATATTTTTGAGTTGGAGGCTGTTACAAATAAAAGGTATTGGACTCCTTTCCCTGGGTGCCCAGAGAAATTTTGTTGAGGAGCTGTAGCTCTGGAAAAAATGCAGCAAGACACAGCAAATCTGTGAGAGCTGTCTTGCTTGACACAGATCCACTCTGTCCCAGTGACACTGTTCAATGTAGTCTGATGTTGCCACATGCCAGATGCCCTCCAGATGGCCCTTTTTCTTGCTCATGTGCAAATGGTCCTGCTGGAAAAAGCAAACCTCTCCCCTTCCTCACCTAAATCATCCCACAATTTGGGAAGATCTAAGGCAACTGCAGCTTTTGATTATAGGATAAAAAAAATGGGATGGAGAATAAACCAGTGATAGGATCAACAACTAGGATTTTAAAGCTTATAATGAAAACAGACGTCAGTAGTTTTGAGGTCATGCAGACCGCAAAAATAAGCACGTCATCCAGACAGAAAAGTTGCTTTCATTCCAAGATGCAAAGAATCAAACAGACTACCCGTTCTTATGTACTCTCTTTGCATAAAATAGCCATTTTGGAAAATTGCATTTGCCTGGTTTTAATCTGCAGATGTTGGGGTTTGGTTATGCCTTTCTCAGCTCACAGGCTCTGTAGGACATCTTGCAGGAGGGAAAAATGTAACTGATGCATAGGACTCTCTCACAGGCAACACAGAGTAAAAGACAACCCAGAGTGGATTTGGATTTAAGAATCAAAAAGAGTAGAGGTTGTACTCTGTTTACTGTTTCGCACATGGGATTCCCAGCATTGTACAAACACCCACACCCACACCCACAGAGCACTTTACAATTGAAATTTGACCTCTTTTTTGGCTTAGGACTTTTTAGCCTTTGGCATGTGCTCATGTCATTCATGCTCAAAGTCTGCTTTTTCTCCTCAGGAAAAAAATTAATGCTATTTTGTTTGATTGACAGATACACAAAATAAACACACACAAAAAAAAAAGGTTTTAAGATGTTTTTTCTGAAGCCACAGGAATTCTTGAAACTCTAATGGAATAGTACAATTTCTACAAAACATTAAAATAATGTCTGAAAGGATGATAGATGCAATCACTTGTAACCTTGGCCCAGCTTTTTAGAGGTGATAGATATGCAACTTAAAAACTTAAACTTTACCTACCCCTCTTAAAAGTCTTGGTTTCTTAGTTCAATGCTTCACTTTTAGAACACCACAAGTTCCTATTTTACAGCAGTGCTTTTTTCTTCTTTTGTTTTTCAGGCCATTAGTGTATTTGGGCTTAAAAGTTTTTGCCCGGTTTGGGGTCTCTGAGTTTTTAAACTGTTCAGAAGCAACACTGCGGGCATGGCTGCAGGTCATTGAAGCCAACTACCATTCCTCCAACTCATACCACAACTCCACACATGCGGCAGATGTCCTGCATGCTACTGCCTTCTTTCTCGGGAAGGAGAGAGTTAAGGTAGAGCCATCACCTAGGAGTTCTTTGGGTTAGGATTTCAGCGTGTTTGGCATTTTATGTGTGTCATCCAGAAGACAGATGTTTAAATAATGGTCCTGGCTTCATAAACTCTCTCTGTCCTTGAAGTCTTCCTGTGATGCAAGCAGGCCCACACAGTTTCTCTAAAGTCTGTTTATACAAATTTACATTTTTAAGTAGCAATGATGGAGGTGGGGAGGGAACTTGGCTCTTTTCTTTCTCATGTTAACTGGCTGTAGGTAACAGCTCTTAATAAAGCTTCCAAAGAGCTTTGCAACAGCTTTGGAGAGGAAGGTGTGAGTTATTCTTCCTGGTACTCAGCTACAGGACATGTGAGAAAGATTCAAGGCTGTGCCAGGGGAGGTTCAGAGTAGACATTAGGAAACATTTATTTACTAAGTGGTTAAATACTGGAACAGGCTTCCCAGAGAGGTGGCTAATGCCCTGCACCTGTCAGTGCTTAAGCAGCATTTGGACAATGGCCATAATAACATGCTTTAACTTTTGTTCAGTCCTTAAGTGGTCAGGCAGTTTGGCCAATGATCATGTAGGTTACTTCCAAGTGAAACAATCTATCCTATCCTGTGCTAAAACATAAGGTGTGTGAAGCAGAGTCAATAAAGATACATTCAGGCAAGCATACAAAGTGGAAGGAAACCACTAGGTCATCTATCCATTGAAGAGTTCTATGCAAAGATACTGCTCAGGTGACAGCAGTGTAAAAAGCTTCATTAAAGAAAGCATATTTGGATAAGGGTAGGAGTGGAAATTTTGTGGGAGGTAATTTGTAGGCACAGTGAATGGAAAATGACTGCAAGGAGGTAGCTTGCGTGCTTAAGTTTACATTTGTGTAATTGTGGGTACCTGGAAGTTATCAGAAAATATTTATTGTAATTTTGTGCCACATTGTAATTTTTCTCTCTTCCTATAGGGAAGTCTGGACCATCTAGATGAGGTAGCTGCATTAATAGCTGCCACCATTCATGATGTTGACCATCCTGGACGGACCAACTCTTTCCTGTGCAATGCAGGCAGTGAATTAGCTGTCCTTTACAATGACACAGCTGTATTAGAGAGTCATCACACAGCACTGGCATTTCAGCTTACAATAAAAGACAGCAAATACAACATTTTCAAGAATATTGATAGGTGCGTCTGCTGGACAAGGGCAGTGTCCATGTGTGGACTGCTTATTTGGCAGTTTGGGGCAAATTGAGAGTGTACCTTCTAAACAAGAATGCATAGTTTAAATACAGATAATAAAATTTAACCTCTTCTGGAATCCTATATAGACATGATTTATAAAAAGGTTTTCATCTCCCCCTCACCAGCTCTGTCTTCCAACTGGTAATTATTGGAAGCTTAGAGAGATGTTTAATAATCTTTTATGCATTCCATTAACTTGGTCCAGTTAACAGCCTCAAGGCTGCATCTTTGCTCACTGCCTTTTCATTGAAGGAGCCTGGGCACTACCTTTTTGGGATATGTTTTACACAACAGCAGCTAGATGCTGCTTGTTGTGTCTGCACAAGGTTCTATGCATCCCTTGTAGCATTATTGTGTAAGTATTGTGTAGTAGCATTACTACATTCATGTGGAATTGAAATGGTGGTGGCAGAGGACATGAAACTCTGGGAGAGCTGGAAGCTCCCTGTGGTTGGCTGGGCATGCAAGTAGCCCAGGTGTTCCCACTGCATGACTCCAGCTTTTGTAGGGACAAGGTGAGAGAGAAAGAGCTCTGAAAGGGAAAGAGCCTGACCCCAAAGAGATAATTGAAAAACCTGAGATTTGTGTTCCAAGCTAACACTAACATACAGCGGAACATACATGGATACATTGGTGCCATTCCTGGAGAAGTTATCTTAGTCTTACAGCATTATGAAACTGAGAGGTAAATTGTTGCTGATTTCTCAGGATTTTCATTAGGTAAAAATAACAGAGCAGGGGGGAACTTGGAGAGGCATGATCTTGTACATTCCTGCATCCTTAGACTGTTCCTAACTCTGAAGGTGCCAGCTTGTGGCTGAGTCCCTGAGCAGTGTTTTGTAGCACTCTGTGGGTAGGGATAAGGAAAGGGCAGAGCTCTGTCTGGCAAGCTCATGAGCAAGAACTCTTTTTCTTTCCTAGAAATCGCTACCGGACATTGCGACAGGTCATTATTGATATGGTTTTGGCAACAGAGATGACAAAGCACTTTGAGCATGTGAACAAATTTGTGAACAGTATCAACAAGCCTATGGCATCTGAGGAGAGCAGCCCACACGTAAGTGCTTGCAGGACTTTATGCCTTCAGGCATTTCAGTGAGGTTCTTTCCAGACAACCTTAAGTATCATTTTCATTCACTTTGCATTAATTTGCATTATGGCAATGCCCAAATGACACAAAGGGATTTGTGGCCTCACATAGCAAAGTGTGAAAAAATATGTTTTTTCTCTTTTCTGCTCTTAGTTCATTTAAACACTTCATTTTATAAGCCTTATGTTAAAAGCTATCTTGTATTCAGGAAATATATGAGTGGATGTTGTTTCACATGGAAAATTCTGTGCAGGTTGGCACCTGTTCCTATGGTCCTGTCTCCAAACAGTGGGATTTGTCTGAGCCTAGGGATGTAACTGAAGAACCTCCTGAACAGTTTTGTCTCTGTGTAATCTGGAGCCTTCAAGCCCTGAGGAATAACATCCTGAGACCTCTCCATTCCAAATTGTACCAAGAGATGTCCAGGCCTTTTTGCATAACGGTTACAACTCTCATGCTCCACCAGGGTTTATTTAATAAGCTGTCTCTGAGTTTCCCATCCCCTCCTTACCTTCCCTTGCTGCCTCTCAAGCCTGAGCACCTAAGACCTGACCAGGTTCTCCAGGGCATCTGGAGAAAGACTATCTGAGGAAACTATCTGTTAGCTGAGGAAAGATTATCTTAATGCACCTTAGTGAATATAATGCTTTGTTGGAAACATGAAAAAAAAAAGTCAGACAAAACTGAAGGTCAGCAATGCTAAAACCAAATAGAACTATCTTCTGTTAGATATCCAAAATAGGACTTTGTACTGTAGACTGTTGTGGGTACCGTTTACAACTTTAAAGACAGCATTCTGGCATCTGAAATTACCTGCTTCTAGGGACTGCTAAGCTCCACTCTCCCACAACATGAGCTGGAAACCACAAATGCTGCTGAACTTATCTCACAATAAACGTGAAGGACAGAACCACTTGTGCTACAGACTTCTTCTTTTCCCTCAGTATTAGGTTGTTCTGTTCTTTACTGTTAGCTGTGGCTCTTTCTGGTTTTGGTCTTGAACAGCAGTTAAGATACAGGGTTAACTTGACAGATCTTTGCTGGGCTACCCATGCTGAAAAAGGATTAACTGCTAAACATAAAGTTAGAAGATTAATGCCTGAATTGGCAAAAGTCACAGCAAAATAGTTCCCCGTAAGCCACAAAGATATTTAGTTGTGGTGGCAAAAAGTACTTACATTCAGTTTTTGACTCAAGAGTTGAATTTAGCAGTGATGGGAGGCCAAAATCCCACAAATATATTATTTTGAGAATAGCATTAATGTGAGCAGAGGTGGAGGCCTTTCATTAGTCCATAATTTACCTGTGCATTTCTAAACTGCCCAAGACCCAGAATATGATGCCATAGCAGACTGGGAACAATACCTTGTCGCCACCACCTGGTCTCCAGAGAAGTCAGTAAGAAGTCTGGTATTTTACTGTCTAGCAAGCAGAGAATTTCTGCAGTCAATCTGCTGCTCCTGTGATTTCCTACTGTTAATCTCATAGATTAGGTAGGATTTCACCCTCACCAGGAACTGAGATCAAAGATTATTCCAGGTTGAAGGTTCAAAATCTGAGACAAAGAAAGCAGTTCCACTTGGAAACATTCTGGAACTGAATGTCAGAGACCTGCTTTTCTCTGTGTAAAAGAAATAGTTGTGACAGTTAATTCAGCCCCCTGTGCCTGCCTCAGTATTCTCATTTAGGAATAAAAATCTAACTCCAGAAACTCCCCTAAGTGAAGCAGTCCCCTACCATCACCATCCCTACATTTAAACATTCAGAAGTGAGGATTGTTTGTGAGCTTACAGTTGGTGAATGCATCCCCTGTCATGAGATGCGTCCTCTATCAAGGGATGCATTCCCAAGAGGACCAGGCTGGAATGCAAAGGTAACATCCTACCTGATAAAGAGCCTGTGGCACTTTATTTCACGAACTTTGATACTAATTTTGAGAATGACCACAACTGTAGTATGTATTTGGATTATCATTACTTACTTAGCAAGGCAGCAGTTCTCAGACATCACCTTCTTCTCCATGTTCTTGGTGCTCTGCATGAAACTGTAAGGCAGTAGACTGGGTGCCTGCTTAGTGCCTAAGTCTGGTAGAGCTGATAATGATGCCCTCGGTCCTGCTAGCAGGGCATGGCCCCTATAACCAACTCTCCTTTACAGAATGAAGGCAGCAACACTGAATGCACAACCAACATAAAGAATTTTCCAGACAACCAGACACTGATCAAGCGCATGATGATTAAATGTGCAGATGTAGCAAATCCATGTCGCCCCCTAGAGCTATGTATCGAATGGGCAGGTAGAATTTCAGAGGAGTACTTTGCACAGGTATGTATATTTTTATGACTTAACTATTACATTATATAAAGAAGTGCACATTGGCTGATCTGCTGTTCCACATAGGATCTGCCTATAGTGTCACCACAGAGTCCAGATGTATGTTTTTTGTTTGCAGTCAGAACTGGCCCCTCAATTTCATGCAGAAGAATTCACTCCAAGCAGTTAGCTAGTTTGCTTATCATGAAGCTTGTTGTCCAGAAGGGTGGAAAGGAGGTTTTACACTTTCATGATCTGACCAAAATGATTTGATTAGTCCTATTCAAGTAAACTGGCTAAAATTCAAGATGGTCAGCACTCTAGCTTCTTGTCCCAATACCTTCCCAGAAGATCAATGCCTCAGCTGAACTATTGGGATTGCCCTTTCTCTTCTAAAGTGGAACCTGAACTACTATCACAGTAGGCAGAAAAGTAGTGCAGGCATGTGGGCAGTGTAAATACTTATCACATGGCATGTGTCCAGACAGTACTGGAAGCTCAGCTTTCTTTCTTCACATTCAATTTTTCTGCCAGAAATGCAACCAGCTTCCTGAAACACTCTTTTACCTCTTTAATTAACAACTGATAAAATCTTAGCTTTTATTTCCCAGTAATGGTGTGGAAATAACAGCTATGAGTGGAGAGGAAGAAAAGTGGGCATGCCTACCCTTCATATTCGCACAGTGTGACAGTTACTCCTGAAAGAAAATTGTAGCTACTACCTGAAACATGTCTGAATTTCATTTTAATCATAGTGACTAAATTTTGTCATGTCCTAAGAAAGATCAAAGATCACTTATGTTATATCTCCCTAGCAGTCAAGGTATCATAAATTAGTTTTAAATTGCCCAAATTAAGCACTAGCCTGCTTGCAGCAATGTGAGATTCAGAGAGTTGTTCTCCTGTTTATTCACCTCTGCTAATTTTGGAGACTGCTCTGCTGCCAATTCCTGTTTTAAATGTTGCCTGTGCTACTTAAAAGGGGATGTTTTTCCAAATTACATTCTAAGAAACTGCTGAGGTGATCTGATCCTCCACCACAGCGGGTGCAAGAAAACCAGGCATCTTCCAGTTGGGGACAGAGTTAAAGGGCATACCTATACTTTCATTCACCTGATAACCTGATACAAGCAGAGGAAGTAGCACCAGCAACAATCTCGTCTTACTTAAAAGACAAATGGTTTGTAACACCCACTGCAGATGTGGAAAAATGAGAGATCAAACCTGTTCTCTGCTAAAGGACTCTACAGCGCCATTTTCCGTATGTTTACCTGGTGTACCCTAATCACCAGATTACAGCATTCTGTCCTGTTGGAGCTAAGTGCAATCACAGGACTGCAGTAAAAAAGAGTACTTGTGAAAGGGAAGAGATGTTGATTTCAGTTCCTGTTCCAGACAAAATAACACACATGAAACTAAGGTTCTAAGGCTTGTCTCAAATCTCCTATTGCAATTAATCTAATTCCTTGACCCCTGCTATTCCAGCACAGAAGTCAGCAAAGCTCTACTTGCTAACTCGAGTTTTGTCTTCTTAGACTGATGAAGAGAAGAGACAGGGCCTGCCTGTTGTAATGCCAGTATTTGATAGAAACACCTGCAGCATCCCCAAGTCCCAGATTTCCTTCATTGATTATTTTATAACAGATATGTTCGATGCATGGGATGGTAAGTACTGATTTTTCTTCTTTCCTCTGACACAGAGATTCAGAGATTCCTACAGTCCAAAATTACTAATATCAAGGTGGCCTTGCATCCACTTTTTTCAGAGGCTGTACCCATATATAAGCAGTACAACACAAGATATTGTGCAATCATGACACTGAAGTCTGTTTCACTGCACACAATGAAGCTGTGCACTTACCAGGCAATCTATGTAGAGAAGGAGTAATGGCTTATAACTAAGCTTTTTTTATCTATGTGGCTTTTTCCTTTAGCACTGTATTTCTTCTGAGTTGCAGATTTTAAGACCACCAATGGCTGCATGTTAGCATAATTTAATGAAGTCACCATGCATTTGGAAAGGGATTTTCTTGAAAGAGAATCACACACACAAAAAAAAAATCTTTCCCCTCTTAGTATTACTTTAAGGAATTGGAAGAACAAAAGAGAGTAGGAGAATGCAAATTTCAGATCAGGCTGGGCTGTTCTTCTACCCATTCTATAAACATGGTAAAACTCTTTTTCCTATTCTTCAGCATTTGCACATCTGCCAGTTTTGATGCAACACTTGGCTAATAACTACAAACACTGGAAAACACTGGATGATTTGAAGTGCAAGAGTCTCAGGCTCCCATCAGAAAACAACAACTGATACTCAGTCAAGAAAACCAGACCTCTTGCTCTACCAGTTTCACTGTGAATCACTTACAAAAACTCTTGGCTATAAAGGGGATTAATGTTGCTTTTCCAGTGAAATTAAGACTGCATGACATGAAGGAAATATTTTACTCATTTTTAAGCTTCTATGAATTCTACAGAAAAATGTTTTTAGAGGCTATATAAACCACAGATGACTAAGTGCTCTTCAGAAATAATATTTTGTGGCAGAAAATGTACTTCTAAAACTAGTTTCTAATACTGAATATGCACTTGCTGAATCTTGTAGTTGATACAACTATATTCACTAACACTTCACACAACTGTTTTTCAGAGAGGGGGGTAATCTAGTCACCAAGAGAGTAAGAACAGCCTAACAAATAAGGACAGAAACTTGCCACTTATCTAGCATAAATTTGTTCTAATTCTGTCAATGTTCTTCAGCTCTATGAACCATACTTCTAAAGAGAACATGCACAGCAAAACAAGTAAATTTTAGTAAATTAGATACATAAAAAACCTAAACATGACACCTTTTAAAACACCTTCTTATTACAGAGACTCTCTCAGAGCACCACCCATTCTTTCTTTTATATAGAAAATCTTGGTAGCAGTCAATGTTCTCTAAAACTGATCACACAATACAGGAAAATAAGCATGTTCTGTCTAGGCAGTGCCATCCACATGGTTCCCTGCCATCTTGCAGATATTATCACAAAAGTTTTCATCAAATTTTACACAAAAAACTATTGTGGCACTTGATCACCATACTTTTTTATAAAAACGGTGTTTGTAAACATGGTCATCAATTTATTAAACTGATCTAAATTTTATGCCAAGCTCATTTATTGTGCTACTTCTAGGATGAACCTATCACTTTTTAAAAGAAGTTTCCAGGCTATAATTTATAAAAGCATTATAATTTGTACTGCTTTATCTTCCTAATAAAATGCTGATTGGTTTTGTGATGTAAGAAATATGTATATCAGTTGGAAATCAAATATAGTTCTTCATTAGTTCCAAGATATGAAATTTATGCTAAGGCTTTTAAAGCACAAATGTGTATTTTTGTACATCTCATTTTAATCACATGCAGAACATGAGTTTAAATTTTAGACTATTCTCAGACTATTCAGTAAATAAATACTGGCAGAACTGCTGATTTTTAACACTGTGCACTCCAGGCTGCAAGCAAGACTGTCAAAGCTGTGGCTGCAGTTAAAGAAGCAGTCCACCTACCCTGTGCTGTATCAAAAATCAAACTGGGTAAAAGAAAAGGGGAAAAAAAAGCAAACAGCATAGATTGCTATGGAAGAATAGTGACAATGCTGTTTACTGCAGGTAGCTTACATATGTGCCAACCTTTTTTGTATGTTTTGTACCAAGTTCTGAAACAAAAGGCAACATTCATAAAATGTATGTGCAGAAGAATGTATAGAAGCTATATTTTTGTTAGAATTGTAACAGATCCTTACTTTTGTCATAGCCAAGGCAGGTTGCTGTGTATTAAAATGCCGCATTGTGTTTATTTGAAGAATGGTGTTTCTGGTGAAGCATGGTTATTCATTCTTTCCTATTATCTATGGCAACATTCTTCAGTGGATTTTTATTCAGAGAAGTTGAACCTCTTTTTTAATACTGTATACTGTTTGCTTTTACCATTTCTTTATTTAGAACTAGTGCTCTTAGTGGTTGTACCTTAACTATTCTGAACTGAACATTCACTGCAGCTTGCATTAGAAGAAAGAATTTCCCAAGATTTAAGCTTTGTTAATTTGATTTGTTAAATATAGCAATGTTGTAAGACCATATCCATGTAAAACATAGTTTTTGTCAAACTTCTGTCACACAGACCAAAATGTCAACAGTGGAAGGCATCAAAAAAATAAAGTTCTACTTGTGAACCAGAACTGAGGCCAAGACATTAATACAGAATCAATATATTTGTTGCAGGATCTTGTGTTTCTTCCCACAGTCAGATTAAAGAAAAAAATTTTAAAAAATAAATAAAAGAAAAAAATTGTGTGGATATCAGTCCTCTTTAATAGCAAAAAAAGTCAGCACAGATTACTTATAATCTGCCAGCTGTGTCAGATCTCCTAGACTAGTCCAGTTTACTAAGAGCTGCTTGTTTCATGCTGCTGTCAGTGCACAGATGTAAAAACAGTCACCTCAGAGTTGTAGAAGTATTAAGAGTAGGTCTGACAAAGATATTTACTTCCATGATGTGAACATGTGGAGTTCAGTGTTACTGCAAGATGGAAAAATATTTAGGGCATCAGTTAGATGTAAAAAGTCTCATCAGGTCAGCATAATTCTGCTCTCTGCAGCTCCCAACAGCAGGTGACAAACTCTCATTTATTCTCTTGTTACACTCAAAGTTCATCTGTAAAACAAAGAACTCAGTACTTTTAAGTCAACCATCTTTAAAAGAAGAGACCCTTCGGAGATCTACTGCCAATGGAGTGTATCTGAGAACAATGGCACTTTTGATAAAAATAAATATTTATACCTGCATAGGACTATTTAAAGCTGAATTACATCCCTGTAAAATGCACAGCGAATTTTGTGACCAGAACTGTACAGTTAAAAAGGTCTGTTTCTCTACCAGGTATTCACTTAACGGTAGTCAAATAAAAAGGAAATAGCTGTTCTCATGCTATAAGAAGACATAACAAAATATGACCTTCCTTCTCTCTAGTTATAACTGATGGTAACAGGAGGCTCTCCAAAAAACCTCCGTTTCATAAGCTTTCACTGCAAAGGTGTCATAACAGTGTGTACACACAAGCACTATACACAACCAAATAGTTATTTTGCAATTAAAACAACGAAAAAGATCCAAAGAGACATTTTATCTCCCCAGCTTCTCCTGGGTAAGCCAAAAATGCATCATCTGCTGAAGAAGACAAGCTGAAGCAATGTAAACTTAACATGCTTTCCTCTCTCAAGTTTAATACCATACACACAAAGGGATGTTATCCTCAGCTGTAATCCAAATGCCTTCCCTACATGAGTCAACAGAATAGCCAGCCTTAGCAAAGAACATGCAGCTCAAACTTTAACACAATTCAGGATTTAACCTCCCTGAATTGAAAGGAGATGGTAATTTAACAATTCTTGCATCTGTTTTGTGGTTTTGAAATATGTAATTTTGAGGTCTATACTCAAGTAAGATTAGCTGTACAACCTGACTAAGGTAGAGAAAAATTACAACTCAAAATCTTGCTGCCCCTCTGCCCTGCATTCCAGAGAAGATTACAGTCTCATAACAAGACTCAAAGGCAGGCTTCTGGGTGGTAGGAGAAAGGAAAGTGCCCGCTGCTGCTGAGGGTAGCAAGTCTAAAAGCCTCTTTGGTTTCTCCTAGGAAGTTAGGAGCTTTCTCCTTTTGCTCTTGCGAGAATCTGCTTAGCCCTTTGTCTTAATCACACTTACTGCAACCACTGTATCTGAAGTCTGGAATTACAGCCATGTAGTTTCCTGTACTGAAAACAATTCTCACTGATTCAAAGGGAAGACATGGCACTGAAAAGTTGCACAAGACTTATTCCCACACCATTTAAGTGCTGTATCTCCTGAGTAGACCTGAGGATAGTAGCACCCTCTTCTACATAGTTTTATGACCACTAAGTTCCCAAACTTTCCCTTTTCCCTAGCTCTTCTCTGTTCAAATGGTAATGTACCACTCATTATCTTGTCCTCCCTCATGCTGTCTTTGTATCAGTTCTGGTTTAACTGTTTCATTTTTCAGGGTTTTTTTTGTTGTTGTTGGCAGGGAGGGGGGAGAGGGGATTATTTACTTGTTTGTGTGTTGATTCTTTTTTTGCTTTTGTGTTTTTGTTGCTGTGGTTTGAACTTTGTTTTAGTTTGCATTTCTTTCCCTACTCCTGTTTAGCTGCTGTTACCACAGACTCTTAGTATCTGTGCACTTAGCTACTTATTTTTTTAACCTTGAAATACTATTTACCTTACAAACTTGGTGCAGGTTTCTCAGCAGTCAGACTTCAGTTGAGAATTTAGTATTCATATGGCAAAACACAGTTTCACTACTATTGAAATATCAACTCCTACTGCTTAAGAAAGGATTCTGAAAATTCATGGTAAGGCAAATGCTTTTTATTAGATACAATTTAATTTGATGAAAGAACTATGGAAATACTAAGCTAAACTACTCACACTGCATGCTAAACTTGGTAATGGTGTAATGGTAATGCTGTATGAAGTCCAGTAACAAAGGCTAATCCAAGTAAAACTGCAGCTACTACTAGTAAACAGTTTCTGTGTACCTCAGTTTGCCAAAAATTAGAACCTGAGAAACTGGCATTACCTACCTTTTTTTTTATTTTTCTTACCATTGGTGCGGGATATTAACCAAAAGTGCAAAATTTCTATTTGAGAATGCTTTCTTTCAGGGCTTTCTGTATACACACAAATCTGAGCCATCAATGAGGAAAGTTTAGCTTCTAGAAATAAATTAGAACAGAAAGCTGCAGATTTCTTCCTGTGCCTTCTTCCTGCATATAGCATTGTGGATGCCCTCAACTGCTTTAATTATGATCCATCTACTGTATTTCACAAGTCTTAATTTTGACATTCACCCATGATAATTTTAAACATTTGGAATAATATTAGAAACTATTTAATGAGTCATCATTACCTTCAGTCTTTCAAGAGAACACCATTTCTGCTGACAAAGCGTAACAAAATGCAACATCCCCCTTTGATAAGAGTAGCAACTAAGAGAAGTCCCAATATAACACATGACATTAAGTGTAAGCCCTACTAGAAGTCAGACTCCCAGATTCTTTACACTCATATTTAAAACACATCCAGTTTACATATATACAGCCTGTATTCAAACAATTTAAAGTTTGAGCTGCAAATCACCATTTTGTGCCAATTTTTTAAATAGTGTTAAACTGCGGAGGCTAGATTCTCGTTCACCATCCTTCCACAAAATAATGAGGTGGTCAGCAGAGCATGTAGCCAATCCCAGTTCACCAAAGTACAGGAACATCTGCAATGAAACAACTATTATTACCATGATGCTTGCATAAGATGGTCAACTGCTTTATTTATTTAGTGTATAGCTGGATTAAACAAACATATGTATCTGAAATGGCTCTGCTTATAAACAGGAATACAAAATTACATACTGTATGTTAGAGATGCCATAAAACTGCTACACAGAAATAAACTCATTAGTCACTTCATACTGAAATATCTCCATCTAAAAAAAAGCCTTACAGATAGGTAAGTTAAAGGACAGAATTCTGAAGAAACTTGTTTCAAGTCAGCAGTAGAAGAGTGAATGACTTGCACAAACTCTGATCTGGTTTCTTGGGAACAGAAGTGTTCTGTTCACTGGGTACACTGTCCCCCCTCCCCCCTACAACACAGAGTTAGCAGCAGGCCTGGAAAGATCAAAGGACAAACAGCTGTGACAGACACATGCCTAGTCACACAGAGGAAGTCAAAGAAGCAAGAAACATAATACTGGAGGGAAGTACAGCACCAGAGGAAGGATTTTGCAAGACCAATGGAGCTAACAAATCATGAGTTAACCCCTGACTTCTGAGATCATCACAAGACTGCCTAAAATTAACCACTAACTGCAGTCCAACAAGACAGCCAATGGAACCAGTGATGTCACTATCGCATACTCACAATGCCCTAATTCTTCAGTTTGTAAAAGGGATCTGTCTAGGGGAAGCATTCAGGCCAAAACCTACCTGCCCTGGGAAAGCTCCCTTAGCTACAGGGTTCCAGCAGACACAGTCTGCCAAGTCCTCATCTTGGCCATCACATTTCATCACTACTCGACATTTTCTTCCTCAACAGCTCCCATATTCCCAGAGTTTAAAAAATCCATTCAAAATTTTCCATATGTAGAACATTGCAGGAAATCACATCCACCATCATCTCCATTACTCCTTTGCTCTGCATCTCAGCCAAGACCCAATGTATGCCTCTCACCTTCTTTGTTTCTCTTGCTGAATTACACACTATGCCCTCTTGCTTAGAGAGCAACTTTACAAGTGGTTAAGACCCCCCCTCCAACAGTTTTTCAAAAGAAAGATGGCAGAAAGAGAAAGAGAGCCTTGAAGAAATCCCTTTAGCAGAAAGGTTCACCTTAGCTATTAAAGAAAAGCTTTCAGGTTTTAGCAGCAGCAGTCTGAAATCCAGTCTGCCTCATGAATGCCTGTGAGCAAAGCTACTCCAGAACCACACTATCCCCTTCTGGCTGCCCTTCTCCCTGCTGTTGCCAAGAACATATGTAAAAGTCCACTGTAACGAAGTGCTTTGTTACTTCAATACCTTGTGACAGGAAAGTGTGGAGGGAAAATGCCATTTAAAATGAACACCCACTATTTTAGGCAGAGAGAAGCATGGAACAATACTGCTAGTACTGCTTAAGTTAAAAGACCTCCTTAATGCTCACAGCACAGAGGGCTAAGAAATAACTCTGTGTGTTTTGGTTTCAGTTTTTTTTGTAGAAGCCCTTCTTTAGATTGTGAACTTCAGATGAAATCTGGGTCATGTACACGTTCTCAGCTGTATTGCCTGCAGTCTCTAAATGAAGCAAATACTCTGTGAGATTATCTCTAGCATTTATGTGCAAACACAGTCCTCAGGCATCAGTGAGCAAGTTGTCATTAGAATATTAAGTCAGTGTGTATACTGAGTATTTTCACACTGCACTAAAGATACCACAAAATGTGCTCCTAGCCTCCAGAGCCAAACAGTCAAAAGTTACAGCCCAAAAAACACTGTCAAATTTATGTTACTTACTAACACTCACTTTTTCTCATTCTTACTAAAGCTGACCTACCTGCACAGCTGATGAATGACCAATCAAATCACCAACCAGCTCCAAGAAATACACAGGTGTATTCTCCTGCATCTTCTTAGCAGCTTGGTTTGCCTGCTTGTTTGTCCTTCCAAATCCCCACATGTTGAAAAACCCTGAGAGGGGAAAAAAATCTCTTATTTTGATAAAAATCACAAATTTATTTCTTCTAGCTAAAGAGAGAACTACAAAAGCCACATAAAATCTAAAAGCTGAACACTCTGTATGGAAAAGACAAAAGCACTGTACTGTGCAGCTCTTTAGCATCTGGATTATTCATCTTGAGGGAAGAAGGAAACATAGCTACTTGTCCCACTTAATGTAATTTAAAAAACGTGCCGAATTACACACCTGGATAAGACAATATACAGATTTAGGAACAAATACAAAGACTTCCTAAAAGAATGAACTGAACAGCAAAGGTAGATGCAGGACAAGTTTATGCAGGTGTTTATTTTTGCTCTGCCCACCTAAATTCTTACTTGTGCAAAGAGCGCAAAAATGAGGCACCAATCTCTCCTCTGTATGTTCTGCACTACAGCATCTAAGTGCTGGCTCATTGCCTCCTTCCTTCAGCAAAACCTATCAGCAAATGTGGAGTGTAAAGATAGTACTTCACATGTTCCATTTAGATTGCACAAAAGTACACAGCCACAGCCCCAGAACTGTGTAATAGTATTGACACAAGTAAGAAGGTTGGGTTCTGTTGACAACACAGTTCAGACTTTATTCCCAATCCTTCCCTCAGCCCTATCAGCACATAAAACTAGAATTGTGCTAAATCATGGTCCTGGTTCAAGGGAGATAACTGGTGAGATGAACAGCTTCTCAGGGGATCCCTAAAATAAAAAGAGTGCAAATCAATAGCAGTATCTCCCTAAGGTTTTTTCCAAACATCTTAATTCATAGAAGTTATAAATTTATAATGTGAAACCAAACACCCCTTGTCACTATGTAGATCAGCAGCCTGTCACCAGCAATGCTGAAGATGGAATATTCCTGAAGATGTGTTTCTAAATCAACCTAGGCAGCAAAAATACATTTTCAAAAGTTACCAACAAGAGATGAATAGCTAGGTAAACAAGATACACCAGGAAAATTATTCACATATTGAACCAAAAAATTCCTACAGAAGAGCAACTGTGTTATTGTTCCCAGTCCTTGATACGAACTATACTGTCCAGAGCACCTGTCGAAGATCCCAGCTGCCAGTGTGCAGGGAAGCTTGGCCAAAGAGTAGCAAGTACTACAAAGGAACCGTCATTACTCAAGCATAAGCAGGAAATACACAGGAGATGGAAACAGGGTCAGGCCAGTTGAAAATACAGAGAGGCTGTAAGAGTAAGTAAAAATGAGACAAGGAAGGCCAAGACCCATCTGGAATTAAAACTGGCCAAGGGTGTCAAAGACAACAAGAAGGGCTTCTTCAAATACATCAAGAACAAAATGAAAACTAAGGATAATGTAGGCCTGTTCCTAAATGGAGGGAGGGACCCTGTAGACCAAAATGCAGAGAAGTCAGGTACTGTACTTTGCTTCAGTCTTCAGTGACAAGACCAGGAAGGAAGACTTTCCCTTGGTCAAGGAGGATTAGGTTAGAAGCCATCTAGGCAAACCTGACATTTCCAAGTCCATGGGCCCTGAGTGGATGCATCCACGAGTGCTCAGAGAGCTGGTGGACACCACTGCAAGGCTCCTCATGATCATCTTTAAAAGGTCATGGAGACTGGGAGACGTGCTGAGGACTGGAAGCAAGCAAATGTCACCCTGGTCTTCAAAAGAGAAACTACCAGCCTGTCAGCCTCACCTCAATCCCTGGAAAAGTGATGGAGCACTTAATTCTGGAGACCATCTCTATCTACATGGATGACAAGATGGTGATCAGGAACAGGCAGCAGTTTCAATAAAGGTAAGCCATGTTTGACTGACCTATTTGCCTTCTACAATGAAACAATTACTTGGATGGATGATGGGAAAGCAGTGGATATTGTCTACTTGACTTCAGCAGGGATTTCAACACTGTCTCCCAGAACATCCTCATAGACAAACTCAGGGATGTGGGCTGGATGAGTAGACAGTGATGTGGATCAAGAAGTGGCTGAACAACAGATCCCAGTGGCTCAAAATCAGTGGCACAGTTGGAGCCCTGTCACTGGCAGAGTCCTCCAAGGTTTAATACAGAACTGTTTAACTGTTTAACTTTAACTGTTTAACTGTTTAACTTAATACAGAACTGTTTAACTGTTTAACTGTTTAATACAGAACTTCATTCTTGACTTGTAAAAGGTGGAATGTGTCTCCTCAGTAAATTCATTGAGAACACAATGCTGGGAGGAGTGGCCAGCGCTCTGGAGTGCTGTGCAGCCCTTCAGAAGGACTTTGGCAGGTTGGAGAGATGGGCAGAGAAGAGCCATCTGAAAGTCAACAAAGGCAAATGAAGGATCCTGCACCTGGGGAGAAACAGCCTCAGGTACCTGGGGCTGACCTGCTGGGGAGCAGCTCTGAGGAAAAGAACCTGGGGGTCCTGTGGAGAAGAACCTGGTGGACAAGAAGCTGTCCATGAGCCAGCAGTGTGTCCTTGTGACCAAGAATGCCAATGGTATCCTGGGGGGCATTAGGAAGAGCATTGCAGGTCATGGAAGGTAATCCTGCCCCTGTACTGAGCCCTAGCAAGGTCTCCCCAGGAGTGCTGTGTCCAGTTCTGGACTCCTCAGGACAAGCAAGCAGGTCAAGCAGAAGGCTGCAAAAATTATGAGAGGACTGGAGCATCTGGATAGGCTGAGGACACTGAGCTTGATCAGCCTTGAGAGGCTCATCAATGTCTAACAGTATCTGAAGAGAGGTAACAAGACTATGGACCAGGCTCTTCTCAGAGGCGCTGAGTAGTAGGACAAGAGGCAATGGGCAGACACTGATGCACAGGAAGTTCCACCTGAACAAGAGGAAGAAATCCTTTATTGTGTGGATGACTGAACACTGGAACAGGTTGCCCAGAGGTTGTGGAGTCTCCCTCACTGGGAATACTCTAAAACCATCTGGACACAATCCTGTGCCATGTGCTCTAGGATCACCCTGTTCGAGTAGGGAGGCTGGACCACATGACTCACTGTAGAACCTTTCAACCTTATCCATTCTGTGATTCTGTGGATGTCTTTACTTGGGGAAAATGCTCCCTGTAACACAATCAGCTAGCTCTGAGGACCGCAGTGCCCAGAGGCAGTATGTGAGTTTGGATACAGCTCCAAACTATGTCCCAATATAATTCTAAGTTCAAAGAGGAGATGTGGAAAACATTTTTTTTTTTGCTGCCAGCTGCTTATCTGCAAGCTTTCATCACAAGCTCCCTACTCTTGTACGGTATAGAATTCAATACTGTTTGGTACAAGGAGGAAAGGATCAAGGTTTGTCAGTTCTTTTTTTTTTTTTTTAACTGGCTCATACAACTGTAAATTTTAAGTAAGCTTTATGGCACAGAATTGCTTCAGCTGGATCTTCTATCATCCCATATCAGATCTTGGGAGTACTTGAACACCTACACTCTCTTCAGTTTCCCTCCCACACCTGTAATCAGTTGGTTAAACACAAGACATTATCTCTCTTTACAAAGCTTCTCTATTGCTATATGGTGAATACTGAGTTTTTAAATGTTCCTTTCACTCCCCACTACTAGCAAACCTGTCGGAACTGGTTCAGCTGGCAGCTGCTGCTTTTCTCTGAGTTCCCAAATGCGCACACTGCCATCTTCTGAACAGGAGATCAGCTGCCTGTAAAAACAGTTGGTAAGCAACACTAGCATGATACTTACCTGTGCAAATCACCTTGTGATGCCTCTATGAAAGAGACATTAAGTGCCTCAGGTTCTATACAAGTTTACTAGAACTCTTAAATGTAGCAGGGTGTACAGATGTTCCACAGAAAATAAAATTCATTAGTAGCAGAACAAAGTATAACAGATATTTAGAATAAGTGGAAAAAAATAAACCTTTTCAACTCCGTATTAAAACCATGCCACTATGTAAACCAAAACACAACCAGTCTAGACTCTGCAAACACAGTTCCTCTAACTGGTTTCTGTAAGTTTACTTTCATTAAGCAAAGCCCTATTTTTCTTACAGAAAAATAATGAAAGGAAAGGTACTCTGTTTCATTACACATTTAGAACAGCTTAGCATACATGCAGTTACAAGACCAAGGCCTCAGTTTTTATCTTCTGGCAGATTTTGCCCCATTGAACAAGCACATAATGGGATCTAATACTATTATCTATAATATATTACAGCATATACATATATATGCAGCAACTTGTCCAAGTTGGCTGTCAAAAGTTCAAACTAGAAACTGCACTAAGAAACAAAAACTGCAAGTTATTATTTTTTGTTAAAACATTTCAAGTGTTATAAAATATTTAATGCAAAATATATGCTATATGCCTTTGCTTTCTACTAGCAAAATGCCATTAAGCTATATTTTCACAATACAAACAAAAGTGCTTCATCAAATCTGATTTTGAAAATAGCTGAGATATTTTCAGCCTGTGTACCAGCCATACTGGAATATAGGTTTTCCCACTGAATTACAATGACAAATTTTCCAAAATTAGATCAACAAGTTCTACCTAATAAAAGCAGCTCAAACTGAAAATCAAGTCCCTGCCCTAGAAATCTAATGTAGCTTTGCAGTCTGTCTCTAGTCACCCTTCCAGGTTTTGCTTTTCTTTATTGCATTAACAAAATGTACTATGTTTTTTGTACCTGTTTGGAAGCTTCTCAATGTGCAGCACAGAGGAGTCATGAGCAGTTCTCTGGCAGGCAATCACACGCTTCATTTGAAGATTATATACGTATATGCCTTTCCCAACAGCAGCAAACACACACTGGAAAGAAAATTCAATAGAACAACTTACAGAATCAGATACTGAAGGATCACCTTGCATATAATGGATTTCCAATGATACTATGACCTAGCTTGTTTCTATCCTCATGTTATTGCTTTATCCCAAACATATGAAATTAGCAAGTTATAAAAAGAGATGGATTTTTTAAAAGCAAATGTGGGATATAATCCTATATTCTAAGCAGTAATTTTATGTCTGTATTTTTATCCTGTTCTTCAGGGTCTAAGCAGAAACTAAAGATACCAACCAATCAATACACTTCTGTAATTAAATGCTCATGTTCTTACAGTAAAATATTGTCCCATGTTTTGAAAAGCCCTTGTTTTATCAAGAAAAACTACTATTATTCTTAACTGAAGACAGAGATGGATAAAGAGACCTTGCTCAAGCATTTGAACTCTATTGAATTCAGAAAAGGAACTCTCTCATAGCAAAGCATTACACAATACTCCATTTTGCATTCAATGCTCTTCTTCAAAAGATTGCAGGCATTCCATCTCATAACCATCATGACCCTAAGACACCAGAAACAGTTTACAGATCTTTGGAACTGGACCGCTTCATGTCTTTTGATGAACTTAAAAAGGACAAGTGTACAATCCTGTGTATGTACACATGATTAGTATTCAGTACCAGAAAAGTGCAAAAGGTTTCCATTCAGTATATATTTGCAGTTTTGAACATGCCTTGTTTAGATGACAGTGTTCAGGAACATTTCCCTGAACAGCCAGCTTCTTTTACATAACCCAAACATTAATATCTGATATACAATTCACACTACAAGTCTGTCAACATTTTGTACAACTTGTAGCCTAGGGTCTTTTGACTAAAGTTTCCTGTATATATTCATCAATGTTTTCACATTGTTCAAAACTCTTTGTTCAGGTTTTTATTCTTTTTTTTTTTCCTCTTAGTTGTATCTGTTGTGGGAGCACTGAAGCTGAACAGATTTCTGATACCACCAATAGGAAATCAAGACAAAAAACAAACCACTAAGCCCCTTATCTTAGTTTTGCATAAGGTTCAAATGCAATGGCTTTCCACATAACTCTTCCAACTTGAGCCATACAATCTTAGAGCTTTGCAAAAGATGCTCTTCATGGAGCACTCTTCTTTTTTCACAAGCCCTGGCAAAATCCTGGTAATCTCAAAATCCAAGAAAATAAAACATATGAAGCATAAATTGTACAGTTCTATTAACAGGCAAGCTAAACACACATACCAGGACAGCAGATGTACTCCTCAGCACTGTTTCCTAGTTTTGAAAACCTTTACCATCCCATTTGTTTCTGAATCATGTTTTGCCTACAAGCCCAGTGTCAAACTAGACAAGTGTATCTTCTCCAACTACCTAACTACCAAGTCTGGAAGACAGAGAAAACATATATTTTATGCTATTTTTTAACATGAAAAGCAGTGGTCTGCTTTGAGATAGCACATTACAAAATAATATGTTAGACAAATACATTTCTGCACCACACTTTAAGCTCCTTGAGGAGCTTTACAATACAGACAGCACTACCTTAAAAGCACCTCCTATTCTGGTATGTAATACTAGAACCACCTTTTCTTCCCATCATTCAAAACTCTCACAATTTAAAAAAAAAAATCACACCTATTTATTTAGTTCAGTCTCATGAATGGAAGACAGCAGCCCCAGATTCCACACTGAATGTTTTGAAAACTTCTGTCCTTCCTCAAATTCTTTCCTACTCCCTTAAAACACATCATATGTAGCTTTCAAGCATGGAATCTAAGTGTTCTGAAGCTAAATTACAGAACTTATCCTAAATAAAGTTCATTTTTGGCTCATTGTAGAAATAAGCATTAACAACAAAACCACTGTTTATCCCACCTTTAAGGGCAGCCAAATCTTTTTTGGCCCCCCAACTTCTCACAGTATTTCTCACTCCAGTGTTTTAGGAAAGTTCTATTCAGAAAGAGGCAAATGTGTCACGTGACTGTTTGGTCCTTACCCTATATTCAGGCTTTTCCACAGCTTTTATGTTTTTACAGCTTATATATCTGAATCCATTTCCAAGAATCTCTTTCTTAATCATTCTCAATAACGAACCTACAATGCCTCAAACAAAATCCCAGTGTACCTCAACATTGAAAGATCTTTTATTTTTCCACATTTAATTTTGTGAAATGTTGGTAACATTTCACAAAATTAAATATCAACCTGAGTATTTTTAGTGTTTGCTGTATGATAACTGAGTTCTAACTGAGTATTCTGACCAAGAATTTATCTCTAAAGCATGACTATAGTAGACAGGATCTTGGAAACATTTGAGTATACAATTCTGTATAGTCCCCCTGAACAGAAAGAGGAATATTAAGCATAGACATACGCCTACTCTTAAATAGTACCCCATAGTATTCTCACAGTAACCTCAGCTGTAACTGCTCAAGCAGGTGGATTACTGGGAAAACTGTATTTCCAGAAGCTGGACTACAAAAGATGATGCCATCAAAACACACATCCATTTTTACTTTTCTCTAGTGGTAGTTTAAACAAGTAATAAATCTTTATTAGTCAAAAAGAAATGCTGTTGTGACAGTCCATTATATTAGTTTCCATACCATCAACATATTAAACCCTTCATATAGGTCAACAGCAAATATTTTATATAAAAACCACTGACCATATAAAATAGCTGTGGACATTTAAAAAAAGTCTCTCATATTATAACAAGGAAACTGAAAATATAAACCACTCAGTCTTCTGTGGTAAGATCATCCTAGCTTACTTAAAGCAATTTACTCTGAAGCTTTTTACCTCCTCATCAGATGTTAAGTGTTGAACTGAAGTTTCATGTGGGCTTTGGGATAACTTTATTTCTGGTTGTACATCTGGATGGACAGAGTCCCAGAAGTTGCACTCAGATGCCTGCTTTGTCCAGTCAAGCGAATCCCAAACTATTAACTCACCTATATGAGAACCTGTCACAAAAGTCAAATCTGAACGGGAAAAAAAACACACATAGAAATCACATGATATTAAAAAAATAAATTTCACACAAAGCTACAACCCTAGAAAGACAGCCCAATTATGTATAAAGCTATGTACACTGTGCAGTGCATAACTGACTGGACAAAAACCTCTCTCTTTCAGTAAATACTCATCAAATTACCTAACATAGCTCAGACAAGTGCTCATGTAAAATTAGAATTAGGAAGAAGAACATTCACTGGCCACAGAGCACAGCACAGAGTTGCAAAGGCAAGGAACACCACCAGAAGTGTGTACAAATATTTGAACTTCATTTCTACATAAAAAGCCCTTCTATTCCTTGGGGAAACATCCCCCAACATCCCCCAGACACAACAAAGTACATCTTTGCCCTAAATAGAAATACTGATCACAAATTAAATGAATGAGTTAATGGCAATATTGAAGTAACTGCTCATGACTTTATCACACATGGAAAGGAACTTCTACAACAGTACTTAATGCAGGTAGCATCTTGTCTTTTTAAGCCAAACACTGCTTGCCTTTCATAATCAAAAAGAAGAAAATAATGGCAACAGTTAAGCTCAGAAACATGTACCATAGAACCCAAGTTTTCTTTTTTCCAGCCTGTTGTTACCTCTGTAACACAACCTCTTTGTGCCAGCCAGGCAGACAGAGATACAGCCAAGGATAAATAAACACTCTCTATCCCACCAGTAATACCTTTTCCTGGCTGTGGGGTTGCTCCATAAAAAAAAAAAAAAAAAAAAAAGAAAAAAAAAAAAAAAGAAAAAAAAAATGGAAGAAGAAGAGTAGAAAGGGCTGATGCTTGCAGCAGAGCAGACAGAATTTCAGGTATTATTTCAGTATTACCCTAATGAGCAGCATAGATCATATCAGCTTCCAGACCCTCTCTATAGAGGCTCTACATGCAGGCTCACATCTGCACACTCAGAATCTCCAGTTACCTTAGGACTACAGCTGCAAGGGATATGGCATTGCATATCCCATTTTAAGAATAAGAAGGAACAAGACAAAAAAAGTAGCATTTTTAACTTTCACAATAGAAAGACCAAGAGTTCCATTATTTCCATCAATGACATTGACTCTTCTACATTACAACTCGTCTGGTTTCATTTCACTGTTAATCCATAAACAAAGAAAGTGTACTTTGTCACATCACTACCTTTGCAGCTACACAAAAAGGTACATCCACTAGTTACTAAGTTTCACTCCAGTTAAAACTTTGGTTCAAATAACAACTCCATGGGTGAAATATCCCACTGGTAACTAACAAAACCAGTAATATTATAAAATTATTCTTACCATTAACACTGACTAATGATGAAATGTTATCCTGATGGTCAACAAGGCGCTTTACTTCAAGAATATTCCAACCTTCATACCCATTGTTAGAAGCACTCAGCCTAAAAATAACTTCAAAGATAGAAAAATTGTCTAAATAAGCTTTTTCATTTGGAATAAGATGGAGCTATGTTTAAATAAAACAACATTTTCAGAGACACAAATTAAACATTGTGAGACCATATAAGAGCCACTTATAATCAAAAAACAGGAAGCCCTTACTTCAGTGTTACCATTAAGGCCTCAGCAAATATAGGATAAAACACTTCAGCCTAGTAACTCGGAAATTCAGAGAATTGGTCAACACCAGAAGTGAAAAGTATCAGACACCTTTATGGATAAGCTAGTACAAGTGAAATATGTTTTCTTGAGGACTCATCTATGTGAAACAATAACATTCAAAAACAATTAATATTAATATCCTCTAGTAAAGCAACCAATATTGTCAGAAATTAAGACTTTATTTTAATCGGTCTTGGAATTTCTTTTCTATCTCAAGGGTACTATAAAGCTACTCATTATAGCCTTGGATAGTTAGAGATCATTAATACCTCAAAATTCAGATCCCAGGATAAGGAAGCTCTAGAGAATCTGAATATCTTGACAACTCAGATAAGCAATTCCAGACCTTCTCCAGAAGAACAAATGTCAATTGCCATAATCAGATCTGGACAGGTGGCACTGAGGGAGCTGACAGAAGAGCTCACCAAGCCAATCACTGTCATTTATCAGGAAGGTCCCAGTCAAATAGAGTTTGGCTAATGTGATGCCCATCTACACGCCTGGTTGTAGGAGGACTGAAGGAACCACAGGCCTGTCAGCCTAACGCCAGTGCCAGGTAAAGTGATGAAACAAATTATCTTGAGTGTAATCACACAGCACATACAGGACAACCAGGGAATCAGGCCCAGACAGGATGGGTTTAAGAAAGGCAGGTCCTGCTTGACCAATGTGAGCCAGTGGGTGCCAAGGTGGCCAAGAAGGCCAGTGGCATCCTGGCCTGCATCAGCAACAGTGTGGCCAGCAGGGCCAGGGCAGCAACTGTCCCCTTGTACTCCACACTGGTGAGGCCACGACAACCACTTCAGGCGACACCTCAAGTTCTGTGCTCAGTTCTGGGTCCCTCATGTCAAGAAAGATATTGAGGTGCTGGAGTCTGTTCACAGAACACCAACAGAGTTGGTGAAGAGTCTGGAGTACAAGTCTTATGAGAAGAGAGCTTGGGTTGTTTAGCATGGAGTAAAAGGAGACCTTATCACTTCCTACAACTACCTGAGAGGAGGTCATGCCAAAGTGGGCATTGGCCTCTTCCTACAGGCCACAAGTCACAGGAGAAAAGGAAGTGGCCTCAAGCTATTCAAGGGGAGGTTCAGGTTGGACATCAGGAAGAATCTCTTCACTGAAAGAATAATTAGACATTGGAATGGGTTGCCCAGGGATGTGGAGCAGTCAGCACCCCTGAAGGTGTCCAAGAAATGACTGGATATGGTACTTAGTTCTATGGTAGTTGACATGGTGGTAACTGGTCAAACCTTAGACTCAATGATCTTGGAAGTCTTTCCCAATCTTAGTAATTCTATAATTCTAAATACAGAAACATTTTGTTTTGTATATGATGCATATTTCCAAAAACTCTTGAGTAAGATTAGTATAATCTCCTCTTTGTCAATGGTCAAAGAAAAAACATTGCTGACTACACCCTAATACCATTTACTTTTCCAATAAAATTTCAGCAGAGTGGTCTTCAAACATATCTCTGATAAGCAGCTCTTATGGAAGAGCATGAACACTGGAAAATGCAAGATACTCACTTAGCTCTTTGCCAACTGCTGCTGCAACACAATTTTTGGGCAATTCAACCAAAGCACTGATGCCTTTGAAAAAAGGGGGAAAAGAATATTGATTGATCACAAGAAAACACAACAAACTGCTATTTATTAATAAAATTCTTAACAATCTGCTTTCCACTTATCAAAACCAAAGTCTACTGACTTAAGTTAAATGACATCAGACATGAACAGTTTATCTCAAACAGAGGTAAGGTCTGGAGTTTTGTTCTGAATCAGAATTCTGAACATCAAAATTGTGGTGAAGCTGAAATTAAATGATCTTTTTATTTTACATATAATTAAGATATTTGTGTTCTAATGCTGGATAGTATTAAAAACACCATGACAATTATTGCGGCTCTAAACACAGGCACTACCAAAATCAGATACTGATACTATCTCAAGCATGCACAATTCTAAAATAACGTGCAGAGCAAGACAAAGAAGAATAAAGCATATGATAAAATGCCCAGCTTGCTATCTTCTGTTTTCATCCTGCACAAAATTTCCCCACCCTCTGACAAAGCACCATTAGAGGAAAATTCCTCAAGGAATAAGCAACCTCTTTCCCCACAAAGGATTAGGACAGAAGAGAGGGCCCATGCCACACATTCCGTTGATTCCTTGTACCAAAGTTTCAACAGCAGTCCATACTAAGCACCACAGTCCAACTGGTATTTAGCATGATATTTCACATTGAACCAAAAGAACTATTAATACCCTCAAGGACTTAGGAGGCTTTGCCTACCAGTACTTTATTCTATGACAAAAATAAGGCCAATATCAGTTCCACCTTTGAATGTGATTCACAGCTTCGTAAGCATCTTGGTAAAGTACAGCAATAACATGAAAAATTTTCTTCACATGGACAGATAATATAGAAGTTCACTAACAGAAAAGCATGATTGACAGTGATTTCTGATTATTATATTCCTATCGAAACATGCATTTTCTACATCAAAAGTACTGATTCTTAACAATAAAAAAATAGTCTTTACTGTCCTGCTATTACAAATTTTCACTCTAGAAACATAATAAAACTCCCACTCAATCAGACAAAAAGCCAGTCAAAGGATCTGGTACATGTTACAGCAAACAGATGAATCAGTATCTGAGCTCTAGCCCTGTAGTTCAAGATAATGTACTGTACTAGTTACTGAGATATTCTAAAATTCACACAGCACAGAACATTAAAAGAGGTCTTAGTTCAGAAACTATTAAATTTGACATTTAAAGAAATAAAGAGTGGCTCTAATACATAATGTTATCATTAGAATTAAAATGAATTTGCCAAGTTGGTTTTGCATCATTATACAGATCAATTTTACTTGCACTTTAACAACTATAATGAGTAATTTCCATTTTTACCTGCATCAGTAAGATGACTGGTCTTACACAAGAGATCTAATTTTTGGTTCCAAACACATAGATCACTCCCTCCAGACAACCATACATTCAGTCTTTGAAGAACTGTCAAACACTGCAGAACAAAAACCAGATATATGTCTCCTGCAAAAGTTCTTCAGGGAATTTTTCAGTGAAACGATCATGAGCTTTAGTTAGATAAATCTGTAAGTACTATGAAATACAGTATCAAGGTCTCTGAGAAATACATATTTCATCACACACTAATATGTTAAATTTTTCATCAACAGTGCAAAAACTTTAAATGTTGTAGGCTGCCTTTTCCAACACAGTAATAAAACCAAGTCACACCACTACCTCTGATCTACCTCCTCTCAAAAAGAAAACTGAGGTATTAAGAGATCCAAAACCAAATTAAGAATTATGCCCACTTCTCAGCCATTATGTACCTATTCTTAAATAAAGCAATGCCATTCATTCTAACAAACCTGCCCACATGACCCATGATCCAGACACAATAGCTTAATGTATAAAACAAAACAACAGACATTCATAGGGATTCATTCTTCAGTACCTTTACAGTGGACTGGAAACATGACACTTTTTGAACCTGTCTGCCACTAGTGCAGTCCCAAACCTGTCTTTATTCATTAAGGAAACTGAAAGGTTTCTATGTATCATAAATGAAAATGCTGTTTTGGTAACTAAATGACAGATTAGGAGAGAGGTACGCAGACTCAGTCTCCCAAACCCTGACAGTCTTCTCAGTATTTGGCCTAAATGATATATTCATAAAGGCCAAATATTTATATTCATAAAAGGCCTGTTATGGATTCATTTTTTTTGTGGCAAGGGATGTATCTACATGTGAACAATAACTAGTGAAACCCCTGTGTAATCCAATTACACCTAGTGGGTATGGGTAGCCTTCAAGTTTTGAGATGGGCTGTAGCCTGTGTCAGTGCTATCTTTAGAAGTAAAAGCCACAAAAAGTCCATAGAATTTTAAATTCTCTCCAGATCAAAGGATACAATAACTGTTCTATCAGCTGATGCTGTTATAATCAAGTTAGTTTTTTCTTCAGCAACATCTGATGAAGAAAACGGTGCTATAGCTGTAATTTTGTGTGTGTGGCCATGAAGTTCATGAAGTTTTTCTCCAGTCTGAAAAATAAAAACATGGAAAACTAAGGTTAAAATAGGAAAATGCCTACAATAGCAGAAAATATAGGTATTAAATTACTTTTTAAAACAAGAATTACTATGAGTTTAAAACTGCCCTGTCTTAAGAAATGTAAGGATTTTCTACTTACTACCTTCAGTACTGTTCAAGATCTTAAATGAAATAACACACTATGAGTAAGTTTAAAGAAGTAGTACATAATGGAAATTATTCTCTGAGTAAAAAACCTCTAAAAGCCCTTAAGAATACAATTCTGTATTAAACTCATTTAATTTTAAGGCAAATATTGGCTAATCATCCTTCTTAATAAATCCTACACCAATTCAGATTTGTTGACAAACCCTTAATTGAAAATGTATTTTTTTTTAATTTTAACTATTGGAAAAACCTGACATATATTTATGGCCAACCTCCTGCCAGATTTACTTACTATGCTCATTGTCTATAGATTCAAGTGGGTGCTTTAGACAACTACAGCTATTTCTACTAACATTTTAAGTAAATGGAAAAATCCTACAAACAAACAAGCAGAAACAAATTGGCATTTCAAAAATACAGCTAAAATACAGGGTAATTTTAACTGCAAACTTCCTGACAAATGTGGATTAATGTTTTAAATTAAAAGTGCAAAGATTTGCTTTAACAAACACAATAGAATTCCCACAAAAATAGAAAATGGAACTCAGTTCATAAAGCTGGATATCCAAATGAGTTTTATGTTTACAAGCTGCTCAGAATACTGCGCATATAAATTCACACACGTGGGTTTTAATACTAAAATCCCTTTACTTTTACAAATTATAGAATTATAAAAAGCTTTCAAAACCAGCAAAGCACTAGCAGAAACTGCTCAAAAGTTTCAAGTCTCTCCTTCCGACCATTATAAATGTCACAGAAATTTTTCAGAATTAGTAGCTCTGCAACAATTCTTATTTATATTTAAAAGAATATTTTAAGTCTGCTATTTTTTCTTCCTCAATTGAATGACTGATACATTGCAGAACCTTCATACTTCTTACTAAACAATGTAACTCATATACTAGACTTCCTTAACCTAGGTCTAACGCTCATCGGTTCTCTACAGTGCTGTCAATGATACAGAGAAACAGAGCAGTAGAGCAAAACAGCAGGTGTCACACTTACAGAGCACTATTTGTATGATAAAACTAATGTCTTATTAAGGTTTTCAAAAGTTGTAAGAAGATTTTTTATCACAGCAAGCAATTAAGGGCATGTTCATGCATGGCGTGAAATGTTTAATTCCTACTGTCTTTGGAATCTTTTAAATACAATTTTGTGATAGCTCTCCATTAATCAGTCATACTAAAGAGGAATTACTAATAGAGTGACTGAAATGTATTTAAATCTTAAATGTATATAAAAATCCTGGCAAGTTTGGGATCTTGCTACGTATTTGTTGAGTTACTAGTCAGCATTTCAGCATTTACAGCAAACACAGAACATACTTTCAAAGAGTAACTAAAGTCACAACTTCACACTTCTGCTTTTAAACAGAAAAACATTTTCAAACAGTAGCTCTGCAGCAATTCTTATTTATTCCGTTTTTTTTGCTCCTAGACATTTCCACCTCTTCTCTACAATATCTACCCTGTCCAGAGCAGACAAGCCACCCCTAAAAAAGACAGCTAACCTGAGCATTCCACAGAAATATGATTCCATCATCTCCTGCAGATGCAAACCTGGAAAAAAACCAAACCAAACAAAGAACCATAACAAACTGAAAACTTCATTATAGCATAATGTAATGGAAAAGCAGTAAATACTTACAGAAGTAAAAATATTTACAAGATATATCAGATTCAGTCTTTAAAGAAAAAACATGCATTTTAAATCCTAATTACAGTTTCTAAACTGAAACAGGGTATTTAAATAGGTGATTATCAACATATACCTAATATAAGAACAAGACTTAAGAATTCCAATAGTGTTATAAAATGTCTTCACGGGTCACCTCGGTCTTTTTCAGTCATGATCACCATCATCTATAACCTTGTCTGTTTCCTGAAGGAGCAAAGAATGGTCAAATGATCAAAAAAAAATCTATTCTTAAAATGTGTTATGAACTCTGTTTAATTTAATGTGTCAAAGGCTAGAGTATTACTTGCAATTTTATCTCAGTCCAGTTTTTGGAAGACTCTTGCTGAGACTTAGCCTTCTTTAGTGATCTTCCAATCAATATGAGCCTTACTTCATGTTTAAAAAGTACAAGAGCAAAGAAGAAAAAACCCCAAAAAACCAACCAGCTTTCTGTTACATTCATAGAGGATTTATTTAGTATCTTCAAAAACCAATATGAGAAAATTTTCCACTCACTGGTTTTAGCTGAGCCACTGAGAAAACAAGAAAATCCTTCTGTAAAATTCTCACTAAGATGATATTATCTAAAGACCTGAAGCGTGAAACTTGGCTTACAATAGTTGACAAAAAGCTCACAATGGAATAGCTGCAGAAACTAAACAAAAACATTTCAGAAGCTTGAGTAACAATAGTAGTCTTACAGAAAAGAATTAAGTGAAAAATATTATCATGTGTTTAACAATATAGAAAATACCATATTCTTGATAAATAAAATTTAGAATTACTGCCAGTAACAACTGAAACAACTCTATTAAACGCCTCAAACTCTCAGAATACTAACCAGCTACACAATTCACTCATTATCCATATACTATTTCACAACCTATCTTAAACATCACCACTAAGGCTTTAGTTTTACAATGATTATCATTATTTTAGCTTTAGTAATTTACCTGCCACCAAATAACAAAGCCCAAAATGGAAAAAGACTTCTTTTTATAAGACTGCATGTGCAAGCTAAGAATACTGTGGTGTTTCTACAAAGATGAATTACACATATTCAGTTTACATTTGAGAAAAACATACTTTGATAAAGGGTTATTTTACTAAGTTGTCTGGGAAAAAAAAAGACTGAAGAAACCACAGAAGATTCTTCCATTTTTATATGAATCTTCTGGTGGACTACTACACAGAAAAATAAATGTTATAAAAATGCATGTAACTTTCCTGACTATATATATATATATATATATAGTCAGGAAAGTTACATGCATTTATATATATATAACATTTAAAATAAAAACTGGCAAGCTAAAAATCCTCCATGGAGTCTTCTGTGAAATTTTATTTATGTATATATGTAGATATATATAATATTAGAAAATAAGATTCTGTGGGCATTTCTGAACTGGAAGAGACCACTAGCAAGGTCTCTTCCAATCAATGTGCATGGGGAGGAAGAGAATCTTCAGAATCTTCCATCACAAAACACCTATAGGATATAAAACAAACTCTAGGCCATGTTAACTTCATGCAGTGTATTGATGACTATATTAGAATTTCCCTTCTGTATATCTAATCAGTAAAAGATATAAATTACTACATCTCCTTAACAGAGCTAATCTTGCCTATTACTTATGTTCTTAGTCACTAACATTTTCTATTTAATTCTCCACATCAGTCAAGAGTCACTACATTTTATGACTGAATAAAGACTCCGCAACCTTACTTTTAAAGCAGAAAATGAATCCTTCTCTCATAGAATTATGTTAAATTAAAGAACATGCAAGGTAAATTTAGAAAAAACTAGAATAGAAATTAGTTTGTAATGTACAACTATCATAATTCATTCTCTCAGTCACACTTCCTAAGTGACAAAGGTAAATACAATTATTTCATCTTCTTAACCAGTTTTCCAGTTTTTAGATAACTGTCCTCAGAAGATAGATAACTCAGTCTTCAGAAGTTACAGATAGAGATTGTTAGGAAATATACAGAAAGGTGCATATAGCTGAAACCTGAAGGAGAGAAACAAAGGAACTATCAGTTTCAAAGAAGTATAGCAAGTTGAACCAGATCAAACTGGAAGAGACACGTAATGCAGAGGTCAGGCATACAGTGACTTTTGCTAAGCAGTCATTCTGAAAAAGTAGCTAAAACTTTAAATCTTGCAAAGCTAAAAAAATTGCATTAACCAAAGCTCAAGTGAATTTAGCACTATAGCATCAAAAGAAGTGCAACAAAAGATCAGAAAGAAAGGAAAAGCAACACCCATTGTTGAAGATGTCATGTCCAATTCTACAGCACATCTGTAGGAGTCTATTACATTCCTTCGTAGAACCAGAAGGTAAAACAACAGCTATCCTCAATTCAGAAACACAGGACACATGCATCCTGTCAAAACAGCAGCAGACTGCATATTGTCCTGTAAGAATCTATGCATGTACAGAAGGCAGCACTCAGACCAGGAATAGACTGAAAAAGAACAGATGAATTAGCTAAAGGCAATTCTTACAACAAATGAATCTGTACTGAGAAACATAACATAATGACCATTATTTTCTCATTAAAGTTTGACTTAAAAGAGAAGCCAAAAGATACAGTAACACAGGAAGAAAAGGGAGTATTCATCCCTTGACTTAACACCAGTTTTTCAAGCTCTCACCCCCAAAAGTAAAAACACAGGATTAAAATGTTACTACATTTTTACAAACATATTGCCAAGGACACTGTGAAACAATGTGAAATGGCATTTCATACCTGAAATCATCTATTTGCACTAGAAATCGTACTATATCTTGATGACCTTTCAACACAAGGAGCTCCGTGTAAGGATTCTGTATTTGCTCTTCACCAATTGTCTGTACAGAGGATTTCTAAAATTCATAAAAAAGGAAGTAAATTTATTTTGTACTAACATAATTATTTTCATCAGGTCTTTGTAATGTCTAACAGTCTACATACAGACCCATGTGTAAAGTTTCTGAAATACCATTTTGCTTTAATGAAAATCATAATATAATTTCCTGTTATTTCATATAAATAATAGCTTTCTATAGAATGTATTTTAAATTACAATATAGCATTTTCTTCTCAACAAAAACATTCTGTACCAATTTAATTGCTGATACAGTGAGATGAAAACCAGCTCAGTTATAAGCTGTCATGTGAAGCCAGCTTCATGACTCAATTCACCATACATTCAGTCTGTCATTAAATTACACCTCTTATGAGATGGCTGTGAACCTCTCATATCTTTCATCTACTGTTCAATGTTAAAATCCTATATAAAGACAACATATTTAAAACAAACAAGAACAAATGCTGTTTTGTTGCATAATACGTAAATCACCCACTGGTACTCTATTCACAAAATACCACAGCAAACTGCTTTAAAAAATATAGAGAATGATTAATCATTTTATAGAACAGCATCTGCAATTACACCCAACTAGACTATTAATTAAAAGAACAATTGATCACTTGGAGCAAGCTGATCACTAGGTAGGGTCAATAAAATACTGCATAGAGCTGCATTTTTAAGGCAGAATAGTTCTGCCAATCTCAATCGTCATTTTATTTCAAGACAACCTTTTTGTAATTAAGATCTTAAACATTCTGAAACAACTTGCCAGACTTTTCTTTAACCATCTAAATAGTGACAGCACTCTCTCCCTTCTAGATTTATTTTACACAACAGTCAACATCATACTATTTCCAAGATTGTCCTTTCTTTGAGAACTTCAACAGAATGTACACTGTAAAAACAGCAACTACAGAACACTGTGCAATATCCATCACATGACACATGAAAGACAAACATGTCATCCTCAGAAACTTGAACTTTTTCTTGCAGGATTAATAAATTATTTTCTATTACTTTGATATTGGTACTACGATATTATTCCTCAGGAACTAAGAACAACATAGTTAATAAATATGGATAGAAAGAAACCTGTTGTTATTTTAAAAATGAAGAGTTTTTAATTTTTAAATGAAGCTCTTGTGATTTTATATTGCTTTTGTGCTACCTGATGCAATTCATGAAGCAACTGTTCCTCATTTTGTGCAATCACATGAGAACAGCAGCTCCCCTTTAAGATAATGCAAGTAGAATCTGCATGGCTGTAATAACAAATTAAATAACTTGGAGTTCATTCATTATAAGCTAATCAAAACCACTCCTTTTAAAAATTTAGAGTTCTAAAAATCCTAAGGAAATTTCAGTATACCAATACTACAATCAGAAAACATACATTCAGAAAACAATTTTAACACCATTCTGAAAAACTCAGAATTTGTATCATTAACATCCCAATTTTACAGTCTGATGTTGCTTCCTATTCAATACAAGATGGTGTTATTTCTTTTGAACAATATGTCTAATCTTAATTCTAACAATGCCTGTGAATACTGAAAGGTACAGGGCTGGTAAGGTACTTATATATGAGAACAAAATAACATCTTTTTCCCCAGAAATGTCATACAACAAGTTATGCTCTCTTCAGATCTTCATTAATATTTACCCAAGTGTTGGGTTACATGAAGGTTCTTTCTCTGAAGAAATCTATTTTTTTATACAAACTACTAACTGGATTCTCCTGTACCAACACCAAATTTCTGGAGGTAAAATCTGGATACTGATGTTAATGGAATCTATTCCCAACATGCATACTTTTATGCATGACCTGCAAGCAACATTACAGTAATCAGGAAAAAAAAATTCATCTCACCCTAAAAACTTCCCAAGATGTGAAGCATTTAAAAAGTGGGATTTTCAAAAGTTATTCATGAAGAACACAGATACAAGAGTACACAGGAATACTGATGTATGGATCATAGAGCATGACAGATTAGCTCCTATAGACCACGATGATCCTGCACTGAAGTGCTCCCACCACAGAGCCACCATGACTAAGATAACACCATGGCTGGCCACCAACTGAAGAGATTCGGATTCCACAGATAAAAAAAAAAAAAAAAAAAAAAGAAACAAGTAAGGAGAAATTTCCATTTCACAAACTTAGGACAGCTTTGCCAGAGGCTCCCTCTATTCACCCAGTGCAATGCCACTCTAACACATCTGCCTGAAGTCAAAGCACATGAAACAAGCAACTTAAGTCCACAGCCCACACACTGCTGTGGGCTTTCTTACCTATTGAAGAACTAACGGTGATGAAGATTATTAAATGAAACAATATTACACCATGCAGGATGGAAAAGTCTAGGGACTAATCCTCAGGAATACTTGTTCTTCAGATTTTCAGCTGAGAAGCAAAATTAGTACTATTGTTCCACAACTCTGTGAGAGCAAAACAGTGCTGGACTGGATTTAACCGAGGCATTAATGGCAGAATGGAAGAAGCAGGCCACACCTTGATTTATGCTCATGCTTTATTAAATCACAGTATACAAACCAAAGCTGAAGTCAAACTTTGGAGAGGGACACACAATAATGTGGTTTTCTAGCACATCTTAGAAAACTGCATCGTATTTCCCTATCCTCCTTTTAAAAACAACTGCACACAAACCTGCAAATGTGACTGCAATCCAACTGGCATTTTGACTGATGACAAAAGTCAGAGGTATTTCCACACATCATCATTCCAACCTGGTGCAGACCCAAATTAAGTACTGACCCTTAAAGTCAAGCATAATATTGGCATAACTTGCTCATGAGCAGCAACTGAAAAACAATTATTTCCTCATACATGCCTAGATTACAAAAGCACTAAGTGCATGGAGTGCAGCGATACTTTTAATTAACTCTTGTTAAATCCATGCTGAGAACTTCAGCAGACTCTTAGAGACACGAAAATTCCAGAAATTTCTCCGTCTAATCCAGTAACATTACTCTTAATCTGAGCAGCAGCAAGGATGTCAGTGTATAGTACACTCCACAACAAAGCATATTTAATGGATGAGGTACTAAGAAGAAATGCTGGTAAGCTACTACAAACTACCGTGACACATAAATAACAACTTACTGCCTATAATTTACATTATCGACCTCAGAGTCCTGAAAGCAGGACTTGCAAGAACTGCACGAAAGCTACACACCAAACTCCCACAAAGCAGGAGCTTAGCTCGGTCGTTCTGCTGTTCACAGAATCAATTAGGTTTGAAAAGACGCCTGAGAACGAGCCCAGCCTATGATAAACACCACCCTGTCAATTAGACCACGGCACTGAGTGCCACGTCCAGTCCTTAAACACCTCGAAGGATGGTGATTACACTACCTCCCTGAGCACTCCATTCCAATATCCAATCACTCTTTCTGTGAAGAAATTATTTCTGATGCTCAGCCTGGATCTCCCCTGGTGCGGCTTGAGACTATGTCTTCACCCTGTCACGGGTTGCTTGGGACAAGACACCAACTCCCAGGGCTACCCTCTCTTTTCAGGTAGCTGGAGAGAGCGACAAGATCTCCCCTGAGCCTCCTTGTCCCCAAGATAAAACCAACGGAGCTCCCTCAACTACTCCACACAGGACCTGTGGTCCAAACCCGGCACCATCTCTGTTCCCCTTCTCCCGACACGTCCCAGCACCTCAATGTCCTCCTTGAACTGAAGTGCCCAGACCTAGTCGCAGGCCTTGAGGTTCGCCTCTGTGCTTTCCCAGCTCCCCTGTTTCTCTTCGAGGACGCTCGTAATCCGTTCTATCAGACCGACTACCTCGCAGGCCGAGACCCGGCCCGGAGCACGGCCCATCCCGGGGCCAAGACCCACCCAGCGGGAAAGGCCATAGCCCAGCGCATCCCGACCTCACGGCATCACCAGCCCCAAGCGCAGGGCTCCGCAGGGAGCCGTCTCACCTCGGCCAAGCCCTGCGGCTCCCGGCCGCCGCCGATCAGCCAGCGCAGCATGGAGAGTGGACCCAGGGCCGCGTCCGGGCCCTCCTGCGGCACCGGCGGGGCGGCAGCTGAGGGACAGGCTGCTCAATCGAGCTCCGCGCGGACACCCGCCCGCCGGCGGGCGGGGCCGGGCGCGGCCGGAGCAGTCGATGGCCGAGCGGGTGCGCCGGAGGGTCGCGCCGGTGTTACTGCGCGGCCTCGTACGGCGGGCAGGTGAAGTATTTACTGGCCTTTTACCTCGCTGTCTTCCGACGTCAGAGAAGATTTATGCTATTACCTTTTGCCATATTACCATATTGCGTATTACCACATTATAGTTATCTTCTTGCCATTTTGTTGTGACGGTCGTAAACTGTTTCTTGAAGCGGAATGAGCACCAAAATATTTTCTAAGTAACAGATTTTCCTTGGCTGGGGCTGTTTCCATCCTCCTTCGCTGAGGTATGTGATGCTTCTGACAGAATGAAGTGACAAACATGGGTAAACTCACCTTATTCACTGTCCTGCTCCTCTGCTGCCCTTCAGGGAATCCCAGAGCGCCGGGATGGGTCGGGTTGGAAGGGACCAGAGTCGGTCACCGGTCCAACCTCCCTGCTCAAGCAGGGTCATCCCAGAGCACACGGCACAGGATTTTGTCCAGGCAGCTCTTGAGTATCCCCAGGGAGGGAGACTCCACACCCTCTCTGGGCAATCTGTTCCAGTGCTCAGTCACTGCACAATAAAGTTCTTCCTCATGTTCAGGTGGAATTTCCTGGGCATCCGTGTCTGCCCATTGCCCCTTGTTCTACTGCTTGGCGCCACTAGGAAGAGTCTGGATCCATCCCCTTCACACTCCTTAGACAGCTATAGACATTGATGAGGTGATGCATTAATCTTGGAAGACTTTTGAGTTTTAGTTGAGTGTGTGGCAAAATCACAAAACCCTTCCCAAAAGGCCACATAAACCCTGTTCTTGAGCAGACACAAGAAACCGTGGAGGTGTACAGATGTGTCCAACAGGCACCGCTCTCAGCATCTGAATATACACAGGTCACTTGCCCTGGTGGCTTTTTGCCAACATTTTTTCAGGTAACTCCAGACAATGCCTGATATTTCCCATAGGGAAGGAGATTATGGTGCTTTTCTAAGTCACAGAATCATTGAGTGGTTTGGGTTGGACGGGACCTTAGGGTTCATCTAGTTCCAACTTCTCTACCATGGGCAGGACCATCTTCCACCAGACCAGGTTGCTCAAATCCCCATCCAGCCTGGCCTTGAACACTCCTGGGGTGGGGCATCCACAACTTCTCTGGGCAACCTGTGTTGTGGCAACCTCACATTAAAGAATTCCTTCCTAATACCCAATCTAAATCTGCCCTCTATCAATTCAAAGGCATTCCCCTCTGGTCCTGTCACTTATAAAAAGATCCTCTCCATGTTTCTTGCGGGCTCCCTTTAGGAACTAGAAGGCCACCAGAGGGTTGACTCAGAGCTTTCTCTTCTCCAGTCTCAACAATCTCAATATTTTCAGCCTTTCTTCACAGGAGAGGTGTTCCACCCCTCCTGAACATCTGCTATTGACCAGTCTGTGTATATAAAGCATGGGATGCGAGGATGAAATGATACAGAAGTAACATAAGTTCAACAAATATTTGTGGTGTGTAACCTGAGTTTTGCCATTTGTTAACTGCTGTGATCTCCTTGCAGCTTTGTAACCAGCTGAAGTTGATAACAGTCATAAACCACTCTTAAAGTAGTTGTTTAGCAAACAAACTTTAGCAGACTTCTGCTTTTTCATTTCAGTTCAGTCATGCTGACTTCCATCTTAGAGATGCAGTTCCTGCAGGCTAAGGGCACAGCCAGTGGAATTACTTGGTGCATGTGGATACACCTGCCAGGGTTTCCATGGTAATCAGCAGTTTTGTCATCAGCAATCTGGTCCCTGGCAGTGTCCCTAAATAATTTGGTATATTCTCCAAACTGGCAAGTGTTGAGTCATTTTGTCACATTTTATTTATTGGAAGGAATGACTGCGCAGCATGACACTACTTACAGTTTTATGATCTATATGACCACTGAGATGAATTGACCACAACCTCCTTCCACCATCCTCCTGTGCATCTGCAGGAGGAAGACAATTTTTGAGTAAAGTTGAGCCCAGAAAGAAGGAAGACACGGAGAGAAGGTGTTCTAAAATGTTTTTCCCTTACTTTGATTATCCTACTTACTCTGATTTGATTGACAAGAAATTAAATTAAATTTTTCCCAAGTCAAGTCTGTTTACTCTTGATGGTGTATGGTGGCTGATGTCTCCACGTCCTTATCCTGACCCATGAGACTGTTGTCATACTTTCTCTCCCCTGTCCAGCTGAGAAGGGGAGTGATAAAGCAGCTTGATGGGCACCTGGCATCCAGCCAGGGTCAACCCACTGCAGATGGACTTCAGGAGAGTGCTTTTTGTCTCTTTAATTAGAAATTACTTCAGAATTCTGCTTCTGAGCATCTTTTTATTCCTTCCTTAAACTAACAATTCTGTCTGCTTCCAGAATTTTTCTCCATTTTCCATTTCTCTGCCTTTGTATGTTGTATAAATTTCTGTACAGTTCTTTTCTGAATTCTTCTTGCAATCTTAAAAAAACAGTTTTGTTGTAACCATTTCAAGCTTTTGGTGTATTGTACACTTCCAGGAAGAAGAAGAAACTTCTCAGTTTCCCAGTGTGGTTGGTACAGGTGCTGTGTTTGTTGTGGTGCCTAGGTAAAGAGTGCAGTTGATCACAGCATTGCATTTGCTAGGCCAAGATGCAGTGTTTTCTGCAATTTATGGCTTGTTGCTGTCAACCATTGGCAAAGGATTGTGCTCAGGCTCTTAAACTATGCAAAAATGATGGAGTGTTGGAGGATAACACTCACTGCAGGAAATGTGCAGCACATGTGATTACAAGAGCACACTTTCCACCAATGTGACATTTCTTGTCCCCAGGCCTTAGTATCTAAATAGAAGCATACTTTTTCTTCCCACCTTCTAGTACAATAGCTTCCCTTTTTACTTGCTCCAGTGGCCTCTGCAGTAGTGACTAGGCATAGAAAGTGTAACTAGGTTATCTCTTGCTCAATTAACTAACATTTCCAGTATGTCACATTATTTCTATGTGTCTTATAAACTGCTGAAGCCTATTACGGTTTCCTCAAGTTACACAGTTCAAATTTTTCTGTAGATTTTATTAATTGGATAAAGTTCCTAGGAACAGGTGAACAATTTACAATCAGCCTTACTCTAAGAATTACTTGGAGGGATTTTTACAAAGGAAGTACTAGAAAACATTATTTTAAAGGTGAGTTCTTTAAATCAGACCATATAACTTTGAGATATAATTGTGATTCAGTTTCAAAATTCATGCCTAATCCACACAGTATTTTCCTTTATGTCTAATAAATAGATCAGTTGAAAAGTGCATGCAAGGATTTCACACCCTGTCAAGATCAAATACAGTCAAAGCACTTTACATATCAAAGAAACAGAGTTAGAAGCAGCCAACAGATGCTATTTCAATGGACAGCATATGCTACAGTCCTCCACAACCAGTATATATGTCTTAAAAGTCCATGCTGCTGTTCCTTGTATTCAATGGTGGTTAAATACACCCCCTTAGGAAATGGCTAACTTTGCAGTCCCAGCTCAGGTGAGTGATACAGAAGTTCAGAGATCTGTTCTTCTTACAGAGAAATTATCCATTTCAATTCTGCACTCCCTGTTAGAAGTGCAGCGTGGCCCTGGATGATGGAGGATAACACAGATTACTATCATTTGCATTTTTCTGGTACTTAAGGTCATGCTGTCTAACCAGTTCACTTTGTGACTGAAGGTGATTAAAAGTGCTGAGAAAAAATGGACCTTGTGTCTCCTGCTAGTTCAAGGGCACTGTTTTAGATAGGCAGTGTGCCACCAGAGCACCCTCATGGCATTCCTTGCAGGATTCAATCCATTTTGTCACATGACTACCTATCTTCCAGCTAATCACCAGCATTTAGAGGTTTAGGAGAAGGGTAGGAGATCAACCAGCAATACCACCTGAACACATTGAGTTCCTCCTCTTGGCTGAATCCCAGTTGCACGAGACCTGGCCTAAGGACATTAGCTTGATTTAGGTGAGCCTGAATCTAAACTCCGGGAACTTCTGAGGGAATGGAAGTTCAACCACGGGCGGTAATTAACTTGACCCCATTTATCCTAAGGGGATTTCTGCAGCTCCAGCGATGGTGTCGTGTCTGAGAGAAATGTTGTACCTTGACGAAAGATTCAACTGCTTCCATCATGAAATTCTGGAGTTGCTTACAGGCCAAATAAATGTATGGGTTCAGATTCATAGATTAAAATAAATAGTTTTGTATTTTTCTAGATTTTTGTGGCTGCAAGAAAAGGCTTTGTCACCCCTTCTAGTCAATGGCTTCAGCTACCCTTGAAGCTGCAGCAGAAATTCACATTACCCAATTATATGGGGTCACCTTTGGATGGTGTCTTTTTTCTCCATTGATCAAATGACCCATGATGGGTCAATGACCCAAACGCAAGTAACTCAGCCCCTAAATATAGGCATCCTTCCCAGTCCACAGGGACACTCAAGTTCCCAAATCCTTGACCCTAGAACAGCTCACTAGATGGAAGGAGGAATCAACAGGTGTTGATTCAGAGTGCTTCAGAGTCTTAGGACTGTGTGAGTGCTTCAGAGTCTTAGGACTGTGATGCAGCTCATCATACAAGCCAAGTTGTGCAGTGCTCCTGTTCACCCCTTCATGGAGAATTTTCAGCAGACTGGAGAGAATTGAGGAAGGGTATCACACTGCTTCTGGCCAAGGGAAAACTAAATGGTGACTTGATTAAATAATTAAGAAAATCTCCTTTCTCCCCTTGGCCTTAGATTTAACATCTAAGTGTGTGAAATATGTATTAATTTCTCCTGTCTGGTCAGATTGAGAAAAGTTCACCAAAAATGCAGATGAATACTAGTAGTGTGGGGATGCTATCCTAGCTACATACTGACAACCTTCATTTGTGTTAAGTTGTAATTTCTGACA